CCGCAGATCGGAGGCCTGCCGCTCCTCCTCTGCCGCAGGTGCCGACCCAGCGGCCGGCAGCGCCGTCGGCGCGGGGACGCCACCATGGGACCTGGCGGCCGCCTGCAGCCGTTGACGCAGTTGCTGCGCCTCCAGCTGCACAGCCCTCAGCTCCCCCGCCAGCTCAGCAACCTCGTCGCAGGCTTCGTCGTGCTGCGCCTGCAGCTCGGCCTCGTCCATGGGGTCGACTGGCGCGCAAATCTCGGGTGCCACGTAGTCGATCTGCGAGGCCATCACTGGCTCTGGGGCTTCTCGCCGCGCGCGCTGGAGCCTTGAGCCAGAGAGGCCACAGGGACGACCGGGCGGGCTGGTTGCGAAATGTGTGGCAGGGTGGTGGCGGATCTGCCCCCGAGCCACCTCAGGGCCGCACGCCACGCGCGGTCGGACGCCCGAGGATACGTGGCCCGCTCTGGAAGCCCTGAGCTAGAACAGGAGGTGCACATCTTGGAGCGGCGTGTACAGATGTCCTGGGGGAAGTAGGTCCTGGCGCCTCTGGTCCTGGCCCCGAAGAGGCCGAACACGGCGGCAGAAGCTCAAGGACCTCGTTCCTCCAGGACCCCACGCCATTCCTCATCATTCGGCGGCACGCGCAAGGGAGAGGCCTTCTAAAAAGGCGTGGGCGTCTCAGAAGGCAGGTGCCTCCTGAGAATGGCCTGGAGGCTTCTACGAAGGCCTCTTGAAAGTCGGGAGGGCTTCTACGAAGCGACCTGCCTTCTAAAAAAACCCTCCTGTGCACGCCGCCAAATCATCTGTCTTGATCCCCTGGGAGTCGGGACCTCGCCCGAGCCGCGCGCGTGTGCCGCCGTGGGCTGCAGCGCCTGGGCTCCGAGGTGTCCGCCGGCAGTCCTGAGCGAAAGGCCGCACTGCGACCCGTGTCCTCGGCACTCCCTGGTGGCCAGTGCGCGCAGCGCGAGCAGTGCCTATGATCCTCAGCGCGTGTGCTGGCGCCAGCGTGTGCTTGGCCATCGAAGCCCTTCGAGGCGACGCGGCCGACGCACTGAGGGCTGGACGGGGCAAGCACACATTCGGCTAACGCGCGAGGAACAACATGATTGACCCATGCACCCCACGGGCAGGGGAATTGACATGTGAGGCATGAAAGCTTTTTCAAGACACCTGGCTGGGCGACGGGCAATTGTAATGCTGAACATATCGATGGTGGTGTACCGTGCCAGGGGCTGTGCTGTACTGTGCTGAATCAGCATGTGTCATGCCGCGTTAAACTGAGCTGTGCTATATTGCGTTATGGAGCACGTCATCCTTGGCATCCGACTCTGGACCGAGCTGATGTGGATAATAAGCTCGAGCTGCCTGAACGAATAGCTCGCCCAGAGCTGGTTGCATTCGGAACGTGCCGGGCGCACAACCAACTCGAGCTCAAGATCCGATTCAGTTCAGAACCGGGGCGAACAAAGAGGGGGCGAATCCGAACCGAGGCGAATTGCACCGACAATGGACGGACCGAAACGCGGCGACACAGGACGAACCGAGACAGTACGAACCCAGACGAAGGCCGAATCGACCCTTATCGAATCGAGGCAAGACGAACAGAGACTGGGACGAGCCGAATGCGGATCGGCCCACCCTCCTGAAACCACATGGCTTCTCTTGTCGGAAGGAGCCGCACTCCGAGGGCCAAGACCCTCTTTAAACAGCATGGGTCTGCGCCCCCAGGGCCGCGATCCTGGAGCAAGTTACAGTCGGCCCGTATCAGAAGGATGTGCGAGAAGGATGCAGGGGCCTTGGACGCTCACCTCGAAGCTTTTCCAGCGGGGCGCGGCCGACGAAAGTGGCCAAGGATGGGCCAAGGAGGCAAGGATGCAAGGGTACCCTCGGGAAGGTTGCCTATAATAACTATGCGGGTCGACTGTACGATTGATCCGTGCTGTGCTGAACTGTGATGCGTCGTGCTGCGATGTGTGCTCGCTCGCAGTTTCGAGGCACGCCGCGCGTCTGCCTGCAACGATCTCTCGCGAATGCAGCCGAGTGACTTCGGAGAAGCGTGGAAGTCTTTACGCAGTGGCCGGCCGACGCTGAGAACAGGCCAGGAGGGCACCAGGGAGGCGCGGACATGCCCTCCCAGTTCGGCCCTGCCCCAGCTGAGGGGGCCACATGCGAGCCCTGCCCCCGCCCCCCCCCCTACGAGTTCTGAGGGGCAGGGCGGGGTTCGCATGTGGCCCCCTACAGCTGCGGCCTGCCTGTCGCACGTTGGCGGTCGGAGGCGGCGGCTCTGGGGCGGGGCGGGGCGCCGCCTCGCTAGGGAGGGAGGGAGGGAGGGAGGGAGGGAGGGAGGGAGGGAGGGAGGGAGGGAGGGAGGGAGGAAGGGCGCAGAAGATCGGAGACGGAGACCAGCAGGGCTCGATTCAAGACGAGCACCCGCTCAAACGAGGGTTGGGACCTAGACTGCTGAGAGCAAAACAAAGGGATAGGAAGGGGAGGGCACCCAAGAGGAGGGAGGCCTGAACGTGCAAGACATCAAGAATGATAAAACTCGTGCGTGCGTCAGCGACCAGCAGGTAACATAGACGGCCCCGAGATAGCACAATAATCCGTCACGAGTCGGGAAGATGGGAACACCAAATAAACAGAAAGGACGGGAGATGGACCAGCAATCGAACTGTCAGAATGCATTGCGCAGGGGCACACGACCCCAACAGAGCAGCTGCCAGTGGTGAGCAGCATGGTGATGACGGCTGGCAAGCCAATTCCGTTCGCGCTGCCGATGGTGGCGCGAGCTGCCAGCGTACACCAAGCACATGGGACACCAAGGCATAACGATGTCCTGGATAACATCTGGCAAGGGCAGCTGGCTCTCGAAGATCGCTGGCCCAAAGACCTGGGCATCAAGGGCTCAGCGCGTCGGTTTTCCGTGGTCCTCGGAGTCATCATCGCTATGAACATCCTCGTCGCCTGAGTCGCTTCCCTCACTGCTGTCGTATTGCCTCCAGTAGGTGTCATTATCCTTGTCGTCGAGCGTCCCCGCCTGCCTCCTGAGCTCCAGCAAGTACGTAATTGTCCGCATTGTGAATCCCGTATCCCAACAAGAACGCAAAGTCCAAAGTGCCGACTATGATAACCACCGCCCAACCCGAAACCACCAATAGGTTGAATTGAGCCGTGCTGCCGCAACCGAGCCACGATTTGGCGAAGAACGTCAAAGCCCATCGAACACTGACTCCTGTTATCATAAGAGTAGTCTGCCGGATCTCGGGAGCTACGTTGAGTGCCACCTTGAAGACATCCATAACTGCATTAACAGCGATGCAAAAGAACGTTACCACACAAGTTCGGAAAGAGAAGTGGGTCTTGCACAAGGGGTCGCATTCGTCATCTTGGCTGCCCAGCACAAAGTCGATGCCATGTTCGGATGTTTCAATCAGCCATGCCTGCCGTGCCCACGCGATCACGAAGTCGTAGGCTTCGTCATAGAATCTGACAGTGCCTGCCCCATGCACGTGTTCAGGTTGGGTTTCCTCGCCAGCCACTTTCTTATTACGATTTGTGTTGCCACAATGACCACATTAATGAAGACCGTGTAGAGAGTTCGGAGGGGCCAGCTGAAATGTCTGTCCTAAAATCCGCCGACTCTGGCGGCGTGTGGAAGAGGCCGCCGCAACTCAGCAACGTTCTAGTTGAGTCGAAGGAAAGCCCCTTCCCTTTGATCCCTTCCCCGCCGGGGGGGGGGGTCCCAGGGGTGGCCTCCCGGGGGGATCCCGGGGCAGATACGACTCCTCCTCGGGCGGTTAAGCCGCCGAGAAAAGCGTTGCAGTTGAGTCGAAGGGAAGCCCCTTCCCTTTGATCCATTCCCCGCTGGGGGGGAGGGGGGGGCGTCCCAGGGGTGGCCTCCCGGGGGGGTCCCGGAGCAGATACGACTCCTCGGCCAAGAAAAGCAGTCGAAGGGAAGCTCCTTCCCTTTCATCCCTTTCCCGCCGGGGAAGGGGGGGCGGCCGGGAATGGCCTCCCGGGGGAGGTCTGAAGGGGTCCCGGAAGGGTTCCGGGGCAGATGCAACTCCTCCTCGGGCGGTTTGGCCGACAAGAAAAGCGTTGGAAGGGAAGCCCCTTCTCTTTCATCCCTTCCCCGCCGAGGGGGGGGGCGCTCCCGCCCGGGGTGGCCTCCCAGGGGGGGGGCCCGCGAAGGGCCTCTGGCAAGCAGCCGCTCGCGAAGTGGCAGCACCTCCGGAAGGGGCTGGCTGCAGATGCCCGCAAGCGGCTTGGGCCACAAAAGGCTTGAACGTCCCGCCGTATATGATGGCACGGCCCCTGCCCCAGTAAAAACAGAGCCCAGGATCAATCAAGTTCGACAAACGATCAATAAGGATGCAAGGACCTTGGAAGGCCACGTCGACACTTTGCGAGCGAGGCGCGGCCAGCGAAAGCGGCCACGAATGGGCCGAAGGGGAAGAATGCAAGGGCACCCTCAGAAAATTGCTAATCCTTACTATGCGGGTTGACTGCATCCTCCCTCAACCGTGATCCCCCCTTCTGCCTCGTCCTTGTTGCACTTACACCTACTGGTCCCGTCCTCTGCTCCTCCTCGTCCGCGACATGGCCTGATGCTCCTCTCCTTCGTCATCGCCCGCCTCCTCAAATTATCCTCTCTGCATTCCATGAGGCCCCAAGAGGCCCCCAACGGGCTCCCAAGAGGCCCCAGAACTCTTCCCCAGAGGCCCCCGAGAGCCAGAGGCCCCCGACAGTCTCCCGAAGAGACCCTAACAAGGATTCCTCTGGCCCACGTCAGCGTCGTCGTCGTCGCCACCGCCGACGCCGTCGTCGTCGTCGTCGTCCCCCTTTAGGGTCGGCGGCACCAGCCGTAAGGCCTTCGCAATATGGTAACGAAGACTGCCCTGAACGCCTATCTGGTGCCAAGACCCATGCATGCTCGAGAGACTTGAGCATTTGCTTCAGGTAATCCCAGCGGCCGCCTTCAAGGTTGTCGGCAGCCGTGTGAGTGACCACCTGGGTTGTTGCGGCCACACCTGTTGCGCGCAGGAAGCAGAACAATATTCCACCATGCATTAGGATTGACCATCTCTGTTAATGCTTCCTGAGTCTTTACCACTAGTTCTGGCGCGCTTGCGATCGGTTCACTGCCATCCTCGGCAATGACGGTATCGAGATGGTGTTTACCCCTGTACTGATGACGTTGACGCCTGCGTTAATGGCTGTCTCTAAGCCGACTTCTTCTGCGACAGCTTCGGTTGTATTGACTGCATTCCCAGTGGCGTTCTCCACTGTTTCGATGACTGTTTCATGGAAGTATACAGTCACGTATTCCAGCGAGTCGACGAAGCCCGTGTATGGCCGCGCTGGGATGAAGACCAGGCCAGCGGCGTAGAAACTAGACATCTCTGCTGGAGCAGCTGCAGATTCCGCGGCGTCGACCAATCCTCCTGTCATTGAATGAGCGAGTCCGAGGGCTCCTTCCCATCAACCAAACTTCATGTTCCCAGAAAGCCTGACCAGCCACCACGCGATACCAGGTATGCCAGCAACGATGCAACCAGCGGCAAGAAGATGAAAGTGAGGAAATAATGCCATAGGAGCTCCAAGCCATGCTGTGAACCGTACTCTGGTTCGAAAAGCGTCTCGGGATCCTTTCCCAGCAATCGAGCTTTACCAATGACTATGGTTGAGATAAGGGCGTTCTTCAAAACCCAAGCCACGACCGCCGCCGACATCTTCCCGATGAACAGCTCCCGAGTGATCTCCAGGAGGCGATGGAAGAATTTGCGAGAACTGACGGACCATCTCAGCTCTCTCCTGCCACCTCAGCACAGAAGAGCGGCAAGAGCAATGAGGAATCTGGGGGGCTCTGGGTCTCAGCGCGCGCCTCGCGAGATGCTTGAACCAAAATGGCTACGGATGCTGCGTCGTGCTGCGTTGAACTGTGTTGTATGGGGCCCCTTGAGACAGCGGCAGGTACGATGCGCTCTCAGAACCTCCTGAATAATCCTGGGGCGTCCAGGTCCCTCAAACTCTGCAAGCACGCGTACCACTCGAGACATCCTCAACGTGTTCCGCAGAACAAGTGTTCCGCTAGAGACATCTTCAGATTCAGCAGAACAAGCATTTTGCTTAAGACATCATCAACAAACCATGTAAGACAAGCGTTTTGAGATGGACATGCTCAACTTTAATGTGCCAACATCCTTCGACCCCGCTATCTAAAGGGAAAAGAGCCCGCCGGCCTCCTCCAGTCGAGACGCCAGGGACAGTTTACCACCTATCAGAAAACTCTGGGCCAGAGCCCTCTTACCGACAGCTAAACACGATGGACCCACGAACCCAGAAAAGATTTAGAACTGCGAGGCCTGGGGACGCTTCCAGGCACCTCAGTTGGGCGATGGGCAAGGGCAATGGTGAAGATATCGATTGCGATGCTACTGTGCCAGGGGCTGTGCTGTGCTTGTCTGCGCTGTGCATCGCCGCACAGTGAAGTGCCAGGGGTCGCGCCACGGAACGTGCCAGGGGACGTGCGAGGGGACGTGCCAGGAGACGCGCCGCGCGATGTGCCAGGGGGAAGCGCCACGGAACGTGCCAGCAGACGTGCCAAAGGACGTGCCAGGCCCAGGGGAGGCGACAGGGAACGTGCCAGGCATCAATCGTGCTGCTACTGTGCCGGAGGCTGTGTAGTGCTTCTCTGCGCTGTGCCGCGCCGCTCAGCGTCATGCCAGGGGACGCGCCACGGGACGGGTCAGTGGACGTGCCAGGGGACATGCCAGGTGGACTCGCCGCGCTATGTGCCAGGGGGCGCGCCACGGAGCGTGCTAGGGGGACGCGCCACGGAACGCGCCAGCGGACGCGCCAGGAGACGCGCCAGGGAACGTGCCAGGGGACGCGCCGCGCGACGTGCCCAGGGGAGGCGCCAGGGAACGTGCCAGGGAGCGTGCCCGAGGGCCAGGATCCATAGTAAATTACGCTGCGTCCGCGCTCCCAGGGCTAAGATCCTTCGTAAATGACAATTGGATTCGCGCTCCCAGGGCCGCGCTACTTTGTAGATTAGACGGGAGCCACGTTACATGGGCCACGATGTATACTAAGTTGCGCTGCGTCCACACTCCTGGGGCCACGACCCCTTGTAAATTACGCGGGGCTCACTTTCCAAAGGCCACGATCCGTGGTAATATGTGCTGCCCCGCGCTCCCAAGGCCTCGATCACTCATGAATTGCGCTGTGTCCGCGCTGCCAGAGCCACGACCCCTTATGAATTACGCTGCGATCGCGCTCCCAGGGCCACGATGCACTCCACAGAGGTTGCTCAAAAGAGCCTCCCCCAGAGATGGAAACTAGACTTTTCTGTAATGGTATGTGTTCGGGGGGCGCTTTTCGGCCCCCCAATTTCATGACAATTCTGCGCTGGACCCGAAAGCGCGAATCCGGCTAATTGCCGCTGCGTCCTCGCCCCCAGGCCCAAGATCCCTTATAAACTACGCTTGGTTCGCATTCCCAGGGCCGCGTTCCTTTGCAAATTACGCTGGGACCGCGCTCCCTGGGCAACGATCCATCGTAAATTGCGCTGCGCCCGCGCTCCCAGGGCAACGATTCATTGTAAAAACAATGCTTGCGCGCTCCAAGGGCAACAATCCCTCGAAAATGATGCTGCGCCCGCACTCACAGGGCCACGATCCCCTGTAAATCACCATGCGTCCGCGCTTCCAGCGACAATACCACTCGTAAATTACGCGGCGTCCACGCTGCCGGGGCCACGATCCCCTGTGAATTACGCGGCATCCGCCCCCCAGGGCCACAATCCCTTGCAAAGCACGCTGCGTCCGCACTCTTCAGGGCCGCCCACCCAGGGCCACGATCTGCCGTAAGCTCAGTGCGTCCGCGCTCCCAGGGCCGGGCTCCCTTGTACATTACGCGGCGTCCGCGCTCCCAGGGCCAGGATCCCTGGCAAATAAAGGTGCGACCGCAATCCCAGAACTCCTTGAGCATCCTGGGGCGCCCAGGCACCCCAAGTTCTGCAAGACAAGCGCGGGGCTCGAGACATCCTCGAGAAACCTGTGCGCAGGACGCGCCATCCTCGAGCGGGCACGGAAAAAGTTAGCACGCCTTCATTTTATGCCACATGTTAAGGATTCTGGACTAAGTCATTTAGTCAGGACTCTGCGCAAAACGCTCGCCACCATCTGTTTTACTTGGCAGAACGAGGGTCCGCGGACCCCGTTAGGCAACGAGGATCCGAGATGAGGGGCGTATTTCTTTGAGCGGTCACGCACGAATCGCACTTCTTCCACCCTCAATAGAGCTTTACCTCGTTGTTTGTCGCACATTAGTTCGCCGGCCTTCTTCCAGCATGGCACTGGGGGACACGGTTGACCCACTAGAAGAAAACCCTAGGCCCAAGCCCTTTCGGGGAAAAACGAAAACATAAACTTTCGGAAGTCCGCGCGGATTTCTTGGATCGGCGCTGGGCCCCCCTCCATGGCGCGCGGGGCGGCGCCGGAGGCTCCGCTGGGGACTTCAGCGCAAGGGCCATCGATCGGGGGCGTCCACAAGGGGGGCGTCCAAGAGGGGGGGGGGGGGGCGCAAATCATGGCCAGCGACGCGTGCGCGGCCAAGGGGGGGTGCCGGGAACGTATAAAAAGAGAAGAGGCGTAATGAAATCTCGAGATATGTCATGGCCCCCGCCATGACGCCCACATCCCCCCCTGGCCGCCCCCGACATCGACAGGGGCCCAGGGCCAGCCCCGCCAGGACGGTGGGCCCGCCCGGCTGCGGCGCCCAGGCCGCCCTCTGGCGCCTCGGCCGAGGGCGGCCGCGGCCGCACGTCGCGCGGGCGCGCTCGGGCGCTCGAGTGGAGCAGGGCGCGTACCCGCGGGCGGCGTGGCGCGCACAGCGTCAGAGTCAGTCGGCAACGGTTCGGGACATCGGGCCGGGTCGGAGTGCGCGTCTGCTCGGGCCGCAGCGGCAAGTCGGAATCGGGTGATCACCGGCAGCGCCAGGATGCGCAGCGGCTAGGGCACTCCAGGGCGCGTGCCCGCGCAGCGGCAGGGTCGGTCGACACCAGATCGGGACATCGGGCTTGGTCGGACCCTGAGATCCTGGCGTCTCAATTTTTTCGAGTCGGGCGTCTTTGCCCCGTTGCGGGCCCCAGGGCCCTTACAGATTGATCCGACTAGGAAAATGACGCGAAAAGGTGGAGTCAGGGGATCTGGTCGTGACTTTTCCGCGATGTTGTAATTTTTCTGCTGCGTCGGATCCAAGGGGAGGGTGCGTCTGATCGTGCAGCAGCGGCACGGAGTCAGAGTCGGATGATCACTGGCCGCGCCAGGATGCGCAGCGACGCCATGTGCACGCATATCGGGCCGCATCCGACCTCACCGAACTCTCGGAGTCTCGAATCGGATCCGGACAGCCGGACTCGATATCGAATCGGATGGATCGAACCGAAGTCATACGTAGATGATTGAACGACTTAGTTACTCAACCCTCATTCTTCCCCCTGGTGGAGAGGCTCGTATCTGCTCCTGATCACTAAACACGCCCTCTCCCACCCGACCCGCGATAAACTCAGAACAATGCCAGCACCCCCACACCATCCCATGCAACAGAAATAACACAACGTACATGTTGCACCAAACTCTGGATTATGCGCAGACTTCCTGTGATCACTTGGCACTTGGTTTGTACAGGTACGGCGGCGGGCCAGGCATATTGCCTGCTGCGTGCAATGCGATTGACACGTTGCACCATCTCTGGATCATGAGCGGGCGCCCCGCGATCACTCTGAAGGGGGGGGGGGCATGTTGCCAGCTGTGTGCAATGCGTCCCCCCCGCCCCACCAGCCCTTGCAAAAACAACTATACGAAGTACACTTAGCACCAACATCTGGATAATCCACGGGCGCCACGCGATCACTTTGAATCGGTGTTGAAAGGAACGGCGGTGGGGCTGCCGTGTTGTCTGCTGGGTGCAGGCCGACCGTCCGCTTCCACATAAAATGCAAAGTGCACTTTGCCAGGGACGGCGCGTTGGCCGCCACATTGCCTGCTGCGCGCAGGCCCACCAACCACACATTTTCGATAACCAATGCACACTGAGTTTTGAACCAACATCTGGATCATGCGCGGGCACCCCGCGATCACTTCGAATCGGCTTTGACAAGGACGGCGGGGGTGCCCGCATATTGATGGTTGTGTGCAGGCCAACAATCCCGGGCAACAAAAACTGCGTCCAAACATGTGCTTCCAAAGATGGGCCATGCGCGCCCCTGGTCACTGTGCATTGGTCTCTGTCAGGGACAGCAAGGGTGCGCGCATGTTGCCGGCTGTGTGAGCGCGCGATGCCACGGAAAACATACTTTGTCAATCGGTGCCGGTGCTTTGCGCTCCACCCTTCGCGCTGAGTGCTTGGCACTTCTTCGCTTGACGGGGGATCCCGCCTCATGAACTCATTAGCATTGGGGCCCTCCGCTCGGGTGCTGCCTGTGAGTTGTGCTCAAGAGGTTCCAAGATAGCCCCAGATGGCCTCCGATATCATTCAAGATGGCTCTAGACTCTAGACCGCCCAAGACGGTTCCAAGTGGCCACAGAACCTCCCAAGGACCCCCCGAGAAATCTTTCCAAAACCTAGCAGGGAAACCATTGATCTGCGCTTTCTCACCTTTTCGCTTCCGATAGGCTGCTGGGACCTCAAAATGGCTCTAAGATGGCCCAAGAGAGCCCCAAGAAGAGCCCAAACTGCTCCATGGTCACGGAACCTGCCAAGGACCCCCCCCCCGAGAGGCCAACATCCTTCCAGAACCTCAGGGGCATCAGTATTGTGTGCTTTCCCGTGGTGACTCCAAAATTGTCCGAGAAACCCCCGAGAGGTGACCAAGAGAGGCCAAACACGGCCCAAAAGCGCCCCAAGAGTGCCCCAAGAGGCGACCTTGGGGCTTCCGAGGGCGGGGGTAGCTGAGATAAGCGCCGCCCCCTTCTTGGATCGATGACCCCAAGGTGGCATCAAGAGGCACTTCGAGTCCCCCGAAGGGCCCCAAGAAAGTCCGAAAGGCATTCAAAATTGACCCAAGATGGCTCCAAGGGGCTCCCCGAGTCCCCTAGTTTTACAAGTGTTGGCCTCATTGCGCCACTGCATGCTTACCCACGTCCCTTTTTTGGGCAACTTCACTGGGCTGGTGGGAATATGCGAAGCATTACACATTGACCCTGCCACAGTGGCGGCAGGCACCAGGAACGCGAGAGCCTCAGGACCCCGTACACGGGGACTCTTTGATACACTAGGACATTGGCACGTCCGAAAAAGCTGCAGCCGTGCGTCGAGACATCCTCCATTATTCGTCTTGCGTGCTACGGTCCGCCCTTCGGCCGCCACTGGGAGCGCTCTAAGCGAAGCTCAACTACTGACATATAATACTGACATGCTGCGTAAATCTCTCCACGGCGACGTGCCCAACCCATCTGCATTTAGTGACCAGAGCAACTGTTCAATAGGATACGAAAGATGGCGCGGCATTGAACGCAACTTGTCGCAAAAACAGCATCGGAGGCTTGCGCTCTGCACGACTCACATGGTAAAATATATAGCATGAAAACGAGAAGCCAAAAAGACAACGATCACCGCGAGCGGGAATGATGGTAGAGAAACGTGAGAGAAACGTGAATCCGCTGAAGAAGAAAGAGGAAGGCCTGGGAGTAGGAGTCGAGAGCAAAGAGGAGAGACTCTGAAGGAGAGCGGAGGGAAGAGATAGCATGGAAAGTGGCGAGATGTACGCAGTTCGCAACCCCCAAGGACGGCGAGGCGAGATCAAGTTCTGACCCGCGTAAGACACTGCTCCGCTGGAGCTCCCAGAAGCTCACGAAAGTGGTGACAGTTGCGCAGTTGGCAGCCCGCCAGGGCGGCGAGGGCTCATTCGGGTCTGCATAGGGTCACCCCTCGGCTGGACCTCCTGGGAGCTCACGAGAGTGGTGACAGTTGCGCAATTTGGCAGCCCGGCACGAAAGCACGACACCGCAAGGTTGTAGGAAGGAGGGTAAGACAAGGGATGCGGTAGGCGGGAAGGGTGGCAGCAGTGCTCTGTTGAGATGAGGGGGTGCTGAAACGAGAGCGCAACGCAGGAGGTTTTGGAAAGAGTGTTTGGAGGTCCGCGCAAATCTCCCACAAATCCGCGCGAACCTCCGAACATGCATGTTTATGCAGCTTTTTCTAGAAAGCACCCCGATGCTGGAAAGCCGGCAACGACCGACGACAACGTCCGAGACCTCGAACCTCGACATACCCCCCCCCAGACTTCCGACCATCATCATTGATTCAATCCGCGGCCCCGGAGGTCCCGACCTTTTTCGTGGGTCCAGTTTCTCGCCCCGGATCCATCTCTGACTGCCCTGGTGTTCGCGAGCGGCCCACTGGTGCCGAAACGAAGGGAAAGAGCGCCGCGACCTAACAGTTCGTGTCTCCGGAGGGTGGGCCCTCGCTGTCCGACCGCGCCCGAGGCCGAGGGCCTCAGAGGAGGCCCCCAAAAAGGGCGAGAACGAGGAAGTGGCTGCGGCATTGGTACCCTCATATTCCCTCATCCGAGGGTCACTCTGGCGAAAGGCCACCCTTCCGCGTGGCCGAGGGGGCGTCCTCCTCGTCGTCTCGGCAGAAGGCCGCCTCCTCGCGCGTGCGCTTCCGGGCCTGGGCCTCCTGCCGCCTCTCCTCCGGGCGGGCGCGCGGGGAGAGGTGGGAGGGCACGCCAGGTGCGCTCGCGCCGTGTCTGACATCCCGCCCCTCCCACCCGTCCCTTCCCCGTGCGCTGCTTTGTTCGATATCCGCCGACGGACTTGAAACCCCCGAGGAGGACCCCCGTCCTGTTGTGTACAGTCACAGAGGGGGGGAGCTGCGTACATCGGAGGAGGGGGTGGCGAATGAGCAGGAGGATGAGCAGGAGGAAAAGGAGGAGGGTGAGGAAGGTGAAGGACGAGGTCGAAGAGCAGCAGCAGCAGCTGGAGTAGAAGGAGCGGGAGGAGCATGAAAACCAAGGGAAGACAGACGAGGGGAAGGGAGGGGGGGCGACACAGATGAGGAAAGACTCGGATCCAGAAGATGGTGGCCCGCCTTGGGGCGACGGTTCCATTCTAAACGACGGGAGCAGAGCGCCGATCCCTGAATGGAGGTGGGGTGTCCACATACCTCTGACGATATTGTGATGTTTCGGTCGCGGCACTTTTCGGGACCCCAGGCGATGCCTGCGGGCCCCTGACGAAGAGCCTTCTTGGGGGCGCGGACGGACAGACGTCTCATCTCAAGCCCCTCCCACCCATCCCTTCCTCTTGCGCTGCTGTTTTCGATTCGACGACAAACCTGGAACCCTTAATAGGACCCCTTCGTGTTACGCGCAATCACAAAATGGAGGTGTGCACATAGGCGGAGGAGATAATGACCCTCCCACCGTGTGATGTGCAGTTTGAAAAGGGATCTGCGCACCCACAGTGGAGTAGGAGGAGGACAAGGAGGACGTTGCGGATGAGCAGGAGGATGAGCAGGAAGAAGACGGAGAAGGAAGAGGATAAGGAGCAGCGGCAGCAAGAGGAAGCGGGATGAGCAGGATGGCCAGGGGAACGGGAGGAGCAGGAGGAGCGGGAGGAGCAGGAGGTGGAGGATGGGGATGACACATTCTATCGTTCTTCGCGAGACAGCGGGGTTCTTTCCAGAAGCTGGAAATCAAGCTGCGCCTTACCGAGGCACCGATGAGTGGGACATCGGATCCAAATATGTGGCCCGCGCGGGCAGCTGCTGGGGAGAGAGTGCCACCCTGAACGGCGGGAGCATGGCACCGATCCTGAAACGTGGTCGACGCTCTTCAGCGGAAGCAACGTCTCGAAGGACCGAGAACGTCCGATCGAAAGCATGGATCAGAAATGCCAGTGATGACACCCAGAGTGTGTGTGTGTGTGTGTGTGTGTGTGTTTGTGTGTGTGCGTCGCGTGTGTGTTGTTTGTTCGTGTGTGTGTGTGAAAGCAGCACGCGAGAAGCTGGAACGCCACTGGACATTGTCTGGGGAGTAGGGAGTAATATTTACACTGGGCAGTCGTGAAGGGCCACCGCACGGCCTTTGGAGGGTTCGACTTCGCAGCCGTAAGGATCGCCGAATGAGGAACGAAGGAACTTTTCTGGTCTCGACGAGCCTCGGCCACTAATCGGCTCCCCCGCCCTGAATCTAAGGACAGGGCCGAAAATCAGAGCCCGTCCTGAGCCAAAAGTGGTTCTCCTGTCAACGTCTTGACGGAAACACTCACACTGGGCAGTCGTGAAGGAACACCGCACGGCTTCGGAAGAGTTCAACGTCGCTTACCGCGACTCGAGCACTTGACTGGGAGAGCTTCCTTGGACAACCCTCTGAATAGGGATTGGGGTACCAAGAACCACGGGGCTCTTCTCAGGAGCTGGAGGAGGAATTGGGCGTGGGAGGGAGCCGGAGGTAGGCATAGAGGCAGAGACGAGGAGGAGGAGGAGGAGGAGGAGGAGGAGGAGGAGGAGGAAGAGGAGGAGGAGGACGGCGAGAATGACGACGAAGCGACGACGGCGACGACGACGACGACGATGACAACGACGACGACGGCGACGACGACGACAACGACAACGCGACTAAGAAGCAATGATGGAACTACGAAGACGAAGCGGCGACGACGGCGGCAGGCGAGCTGGTGGATCCTCGATTGCCCACAGCGTCTCCATGTCCAGCCCGCCCTGCCAGCCACGCCCCATCCTCCCTCCCCTTCTTCCCCTCCTCCTCTCTCCTCCTCCTCCTCCTCCTCCTCCTCCTCCTCCTCCTCCTCCTCCTCCCCTCCTCCTCCTCCTCCTCCTCTCTTCCTCTTCCTCCGCCCTCCTCCTCCTCCTCCTCCTCCTCCTCCTCCTCCTCCTCCTCCTCTCCTCCTCCTACTCCTCCACCTCCTCCCTCCTCTCATCCTCCTCCTCTTCCTCCGCCCTCCACCCCTCCTCCACCCCGCCTCCTCATCATCATCATCCTCCTCCTCCTCCTCTATCTCCTCTTCCTCCTCCTCCGCCTCTCCTCCTCCTCCTCCTCCTCCTCCTCCTCCTCCTCCTCCTGCTACTCCGTCCTACTCCGCCTCCTCATCTTCCTCCTTCTCCTTCGACTCCCGCGCCTCTCCTCCTCATAATCTCGTTATCCTGCTCCTCCTTCTCCTGCTCCTCCTGCTCCTCCTCCTCCTCCTCCTCCTCCTCCTCCTCCTCCTCCTCCTCCCGCGCCTCTCCTCAAGCGCAAGCGGCCCAAGTCTCCTCCTCAATTTGACACGTTCGCTCTTGGATCGCCATGGGTTGCGCCCCGACGGCTCAGAACTTCGGTTGGCGAAGATCGGGGCGAATCGTGTGCAGTGGGGTGGCTACGGGAATGTCGGCCCCGGGGCGGCTGGCCAGACGCCACACAGGCGGTCGCACTTCGAGCGGCGAGTCGCCCCAGCAGCGCGCTCGCGAGGCCTGCGAGCGCGGCTGTGGCGGGCGCTGCGGGTCACGCTGCAAGTCCCGAGGTCGGCGAACCGCTGGTGCACAGCGAAGAGCAGGGGCCGTCCTTCGACACGTCGGAAGGCATCGTGTGGCCGCATCAGGGGATCCCCACCACGGCATAGAGGGACCCATGACGGCACAAGAGCGCCCCAAGACCGCACAAGAGGTCCCCGGGAGGCGCAGAAGAACGCCCAAGACGCCGCCTCCCCCCCGCCCCCCCCAAAAAAGAGCCCCAAGGCAGCCCTTCGCTCTGGACCCCATGCGCTCTTCCAGTCGTCCCGACAACCCCTCGGGGAGCAAGAATTCAACCACAGTTGAACAACTGTTACATCTCTTCTCGGCCACAGGTGCCTTCTTTTCTAGAAGGAAGGGAGGCGGCGGTGGTTCGCGGTAGATTACTGCGTATGATGTTACATATACTTACCCCGGTCTGACACCAAATCCGCTGCCACCTGTCGGCTCAGCACAGGGTTCCTCGGCGTGCCAAACTTTCCTGGTCTGTGTGGCCCTCCCAGGATCTACGCAACAGGCCCTTTGGCCGCTGGCACCGGCCCCGCGCCTTCCTCCTGCGCGGGGCCGCCGCTCAGACCGCTCTCACATCCGCCGCCCGACCCGGCTGGCGGGCGGATAGCCTGTAAAGCCTGGCCCTCGCTTCCGGGGAGGCCAAAACGTACCGATACCGCTACTCCCCGCACAGTTCCCGGGGTGCGTCCGGGCCAAGATTTCAAGGCGAACCCAGCGTTGGCGACGAGGGCCTCTGAGGAGGTCGACAGAGGGGGAACGAGGGAAGGTTAGCAATATGGATACCGCTCACTCCCCTGAGGACAGCCTTGAAAGCCGGGCTCTCGCTTCGGGATCTCTCTTTCCCGCTGCGCGCGCTCGCAGGCTTCCGTGCCTGGGCCGGGCCTCGCCCCACGCCTCCGCCGTGCCGGGGCGGCCGCTCGAGAGCGCGCGCGGTGGCGCGCGAGCGGGGCGTCTGGGCACGATGTCACGAGTGGGGGTGGCCCGACTGACTACCTACCAGTCCACCCCAACGCAACTCGAAGACCAAAGTTTCAAGTTGGAGGGGGTACGGGTTCCACGTGTTTTTTTTCAGTGTTCCCCGACGCCCCCACCCCCTCCCTGGGAATGGACGGCAAATGAGGGCCTCTGGGTTGGATTGGGGTGATTTGGCGGGTGGTGACCGCTGAGGGCTGGCGCGGTGGCCTGCCATGCGCGCAGCCCGCCCGACGCGGTAGAAGAAGAAAAAAACATGTAAAGATAAACGTTTGACGATCAGTGCGGATTTCTTGGATCTGCGCTGGACCACCCTGGCGGCGCCTCTGGCGCCGGCCGCCCCTGGCGCGCTCCGCGCGCCAGGGATGGGGTACTGCGCAAATCCAAGAAATCCGCGCGCACCGTCAAAAGTTTACGTTTATGCAATTGTTTCCTTCTCCGACGGGCGGAAGCGGCGACGCTTGAGTGGTACCACGGTAGTGGTGGTGCGGATTGTCGTCTGCTTCGGTGAGTGATGCAAAACTTGCGAAGAGACTCGGCCTCCAAGCATTAGAGCTCCGTCTTGCCTTCGCCCTTCTGCTTGAAGGCCAGCACCTTCTTCATCAGAGGCACGTCCTCCGCGAGGACCTTCTTGGCGTTTCTTGCCTTGCCCTCCAGCTTCCCTGCCGACATCGTCATGAACTTCTCCAGCTTAACCTTGACGTCCGCGCTGCACAGGTCCAGATTCTTGGGACCGCACTGCGGGCCAAGATTCTCACTGGCAAACTTCTTGAGGTCGTCGAGCGTGCGGCCACCGTTGTAGTCCTTCATGTCATCGGGGTCGCCGTACTTGATCGTCGGGTATCCCCCGACGCCATACTTGGTGCAGAGCTCCTTGCCCTCCGCGGTGCAGTCAACGTCCGCAATGAGCGACGTGGTGGAGTCCTTGAACTCCTCCATCAGCTCATCCCACGCGGGCTTCAGGCTCTTGCAGTGTCCTCACCAAGGAGCCAAAAACTTGATAAAAACGCTCTTCCCTGCCACCGCCGCGTCCCACGTGTCAGGGGTGAGCTCCGTGGCCGCGGCACCCCCGAGCAGGGCGGCCAGGGAAAGGGCGGTGCGCCTGAGGGCCATCCTCGCGGAAGGCCGGGCCGCACGCGGCCGCGACTGCCGGGCTCTGTTGGCGGCGCGCACGAAGGCGGTGGCGCGAGGGGGGGGGGTCCTTCCAAGAAGGCGGCGCGCCCCTTAGAAGGCAGGGGCCTTCGTAGAAGGGCCTGGAGGCTTCTGAACAGGCTTCTTACAAGCCGGAGGGGAGCTTCCAAAAAGGCCCCATGCCTTCTTAGAAGCACCCCCGCCTTCTTAGAAGGCCGCCCCCCTCGCGCTACCCCCTCGTGCACGCCGCCAGCTCTGGGAGGCGCGGCAGGCGCGCGCTTCGGCACGGAAGGTTTGAACCAAAAATCCTTTAACAAATCTGGCTGTCGCCTGTGACCTCCTCCCCGCGCCCCTAGACCGTCGACGACTCTGTGTTTTCGAGCCTCGGTGCCCTGGACCTCTCGATCCTTTTCCTGAGGCCAGCTTTCCGTCCTGAACCGTTTGCATGGCAGTCCCAGGGTCCGAAACCAGTCTCCAGACCGAAACTGAAGACCCCGACGAAGAGGCCTGATACCTTCGAGTCTCTGGAGGTCTGGGCCTGCACAAGTGGAGGACGGTTCCTCTCCGAGTCTGGGTCTCCATTCGGGCGCCTCACCAATTCTGCTTCGAAGCGAGAGGCTTGGGAACAGGAGGGGCCCACTGACTCGACTCCTACTCCTTCTCCTCCTATTCCTCCTCCTTCTCCACGTCCTCTTCCTTGTCCTCCTCATGCTCGCCCGTTGCTTCTCCCCGCAAGACCCCCCCCCGATTCACAACAATACAGGGCTGAAAGCTGCTGTCCCCGTCCGGCCTGGGTGGGTCCCTCGGCGTGCGGACGATGTGGGGGGGGGGAGCGATGGCGGCACGATGGACAGGAAAGCAGAGACCCCCAGGAAAACCAAGATCGCCGAGGCGCCTCCGGTTTCGGGCTGCACCGCCTCCAAAACCAATACGGAATGGATCGGGCCAGCGTCGTCGAGCTCCACCATCGAGTTTCCCGAGGAGGCCCAGATCACAGATGCACACCTGCTTTCGAGCCGCCCCACCGTTGAGAGCAGATGAAGATAGGCTCAGGCTTTCTCCACTCGATTCAGCTGTTCCGTCACTGCTCGGACTGGCAACAGCCGAATGATAGTGCCAGTGGAACGACTAATAAGCCAACGATACTGCTCGGATCTGCCAGGCTCCGAACACCATAGCCTGGGATCTTCTCGGGTCTTCATTCGCCAACCAAGGTAAGGACCATGGCTGGCCACCAACTCATGAAACACAGCTCCCTGATGACCGCACGAGATCTCCTGCCGCGGAGTCACCCGCTGAGCCTCCGCGAGCCCAGAGTTGTCAACCAGCCACCCCAGCGACCAGCCAGCCAAACAATCGATAAGCCAGCCAGGCAGTCAGCCAACCGCTTAGCCAGTCAGTCAGCTGGTAATTATACCAGTTGGTCCATTAGCCAACCAGCTGGTCTGATCTGTATTCACTCTCTCAATCCTGTCAGCCAGCCGGTCGACCAGCCACCAGACGTGTGAACCAATCGCCGCGCTGCAGATGCCCGCAGAAGTTCTGGCTCTCCCCAGATCGCCGCAACTGATGGACTGGTAGCTTACTCTAATTACATTGGTCCCATGTGCTCTCAAGGTGGGCTGGATGGAGGGGATCCCGGGCCGCGCGGCCGAAACTGAGCCCGTCGGTTCGAGCTTGGAGCAGATCCGCTCATCTTGGCGTGCCCCGATTCTGAGCTGAGCTGGGCAAGTCTCGAACATTTGTGTTCACCACGAAGCATTCCTCAAGGCCATGCTTGGTCAATGAATCCTCTGGTGTGCGGTCGCCCGGAGGGGAAGGCGCATCCTGCAGGTCCATTCCTACTGGCTGCCCCATCCTCGGAAGTGGCAGCCAGTCTCGAACATCCTGCAAATCTCGAACATGCCTGTCCCACGTCTTCTGCTGCCGCTCGGGCCCAGCATGGCCTGCGAGCCGCAACCCCTGACCCGCCCAGGCCGAAGGAAACCAAAAGACCTGCGACGGTCGCTCCCAGCCGCCTTCGCGGTGCCAGGGCTACCTCTCCCAACGCCGCAGGCCCCACGGGGGGATGGCGCAAAATATGCCCAAGCGCCCCGTGCGACCCCCAATGTCTACGACGACGACTGCCCCATCCTCGGACGTGGCAGCCAGGCACGAACACCACCGCCCATCCTGGCCAGGGCCGCCCTGGACCCTACGCTGGTGCAGGACGGCCTCCCAGCCGCCATGGGGCCCAGGGCGGCCCTGGCCAGGATCGGTGGCCTTGCCATCGCTCGGACGTCCATTCCCCGCAATGACACTGCTTGGTTTCACAAGATGGTCCAAGACCCAGATTTTCTGGCGCTGACCTCGCCGAGACGAGCGCACACGTCCGGGCGATGCCAAGTGGTGGTGGTGGTGGTGGTGGTGGTGCCAAGCTGCCTCCTGCGGATCGGCTGCTGGACCTGGCGGCCCTCCGAGCAGAGGCGACAGCGCGGGCGGGAGGGCGTGCAGCCCGCCGCCTCGGGCGGCGCGGCGGCCCGCGCGGCACCATCGGCGGCGGGCGCCGGCGCCGCGGCCGCTGCCTCGGCGGCCTGCTCAACGGGCGCGCTGGGCTGGGACGCAGGAGGGGCCCGTGCGGCAGTGACGACCCGGGCGTTAGCGTCTGATACCGCGGTGGATCGCTCGACCTTGAACGATCGGCGGCTTTCCGCTCGCCAGATTGTTCCATATTAGCCGATTCTGGGCCACTGGCGGCTTTCGACCTTGAACGCCCGCGGCAAGGTCCCCGCCGCGCAGACACGGCGCGAGGCTGCCGTACACCACCGGGATACCTTGCCAAGGCCATCCTGGGCCCTGGCATGGCGCATACGCCACCGTGGCCAAGGCGAGGAGGGCCTGTGTTGCACCGTCCTGAGGCGCCGGGTGGCCCTGGCAGGGCACGGCGATGGTGCACAGGCGGTGCCTTCCGCGGATGGAAGCCCAGGGGGGCGGCCCGAAGGGGGGAAGCACTGTTTGCACACGGTCCCAGCCTTCGCGGTGACTTTGATGCTGCCGCTTTGGGCCCTGGAGAGGACGAGTAACTCAGAAAGAACTTCAGACCCCCCCCCCAATAGTGGGTAACTGATTGTTTCTCGGCGGCAGCATTGAAGGGCTGGGTCCCATCAAAAGGGGGTAAATAATTATTCGTTCCTAAGGAGAAGAAGGAGGAGGAGGAGAAGAGGAGGAGCCAGGAGGAGGAGGACGAGGAGGAGGAGGTTTCAGGACCAGTCCTATTCATCGCCGAAAGAAAAGGGGTGACCAAAACTAAAGGCCTTTAGCGGTTGCCCGTGCCAACGGGGAGTGGCTGGCGAGGGCCTCCAAGTGGTAGCGCAATCGATGCGGCGGGCCTTGCGTGTGCCAAATTACGGCTGGGCAATCCAAGGGGCAAATGCGTAAAACAAAACAAAAGTCTCTGACATCCTGGGAGATATCCGCGACGTGGACCCAGCCATGCCCTGCCGAGACACGTCCTTACATCCTTCTCCCTCGCCCTCTCCACCCCGCCCCGCCCTATGGAAGGTATGATAGTGAAGACACCAATATGACAGAGTAAGCTTGCATGGCCGCCGCCCATGTCTATTCATGTCAGCGCGTGGCCCCCACAAAGCTAACGAGAGCGAGAAGTAGCAATTTCGGCTGGGGCTCGATGGGTGGGAAATGGCAAACCATCGCGACATGCATACCGGGGCAGCACACATGAGCAACCAAAGCGGGACCTTACGGCAGACGGCTACACACCATTGAGCCACGCATGCAAGATCCCATGACGAACTACGGTGAAGTCCAGCACACGAAAACCCAGTAAGGCCAGGGCCCTACGGACGGCCGACCAGACGCAGCTGGCGCAAAACCCTGTACAACCAAAGCCTTGGGGTGCCAGAAAAGTGCACACCAAGTCGTATGAGCTCTGGTCGGCCAAGGGGGTTCGGTGTATGGACGCCCCAGCCCCCCAACCTGTGAGACGCTGGAACGTAAGGCTTCGGGCTGCGCGCAGACAATCCCTACAGGTAGTCCCAGCTGGCCTCAACAAGCTCCCCGACAAGAACCAGGTGGCCTCAACGGGTCACTCAAGTAGTCTGGGGCCACCTCGGGCTACCGCCCTGGACTACCCAGGTTGCCTGTTAAGACCAGCTGGGACTACTCGAGGAGCCTCTTGGGGGGGCTGCCTGTGCGCAACCCGAAACCTTACCAGCCGAGCTCGCTGGTTCCTTGGCCGGCCAAGCGACGTGGTGTACGTCGAGCAGACCAGCCACGAGAAGAGACCGCACGCGGCGGCAGCAGATGCAAGGACCCACTGGGCGGGCCCAAGGGGGGGGGCAGCTCAGGCCGGGGCCCTGCAGACATCGCGCCACCATGGGGAACGCCGAAGCAGGAACGGAGGGGCGCTTCTGGTCACGGCGAGCCGCGAACAGGCTCCCCAGCAACTGGACCCCCCCCCCCTCCCGAGCGCAGAGCGGTCCTTCTTTCAGCGTCCTGGGGCCGTGGCCAGCTGAGGGACCCCGAGCGCAAGCAGCCAAGGCCTGGGCCCCGTGGCCGGGACGCTGCGGGGACCCGCCACGACGCCCAGCACCGATGGGCAAGCAATGCCATGACTGAACGTTCGGAGGGTTCGTGCCGTGACGACTTAGGCGTCGGTCCCTAGCACCGCGTGGACCGTTCAACTTTGAACGGTCGCGGCTCGCCGAAAACAAAAGTCGTTCAATGTCGAACCGTGCAGGCTCTGGGCCACTGGCAGCGTTTACCCTTGAACGCCCGCGGAGGGGAGGATGGAGGGAGGAGGGGGGGAGATAGGAGGATGGAGGAGGGAGGAGGGGGGGACGAGGTGGGGGGAGACGGAAGAGGATTGCGGGGAGACGGGAGGGAGGTGCGGGATAGGAGGGATCACTGCACCGACCTTGCAGACGTGGTGCAGCGATTTGTTGCGTGGATTCCTGCCTATGCAAAACCTGAAACGGCGACTGAAAAACGAAGTGAATTTCGCGTGGGTGTTGTTTTGTCCTCATTCCGGGCCATTGAAAGTCCGCGCGAAAATCACCTCGAAATCCGGAACGGCATTCTCCAGGACAAGCCAGGCCCATCCCATTGTTTGTCGAACGAAATCCGCTCTGCGATGTTGGCACCATGACAGGCATGAGGGGGGAGACGGAGGAGGGCAGGCGGCCGCGAGTCCCAGACGGGCGGGCGGGCCTTCTTCTGCTTGATCTCCAACGCGCGCTGGCGGTTCGCGGCGATCCGCTGCCTGGCCTCCTCCGACAGCTGCGCCGAAGCTTCGCTGGCCCTGCCCGGCGCCCGCCGCCTCCTCCCGCTCGTGTTCTTCCGCCTCCTCCTCCTGCTCCTCCTCCTCCTCCTGCTCCTCCTCCGCCTCTCCCTTTTACGTTGGCCAAACCTGAATCCTAGGATTGTCGCACTCTTGAGCAGAAACGCAACGGAACGAACATAGCCCGACATGGCGCACATAGTACCTGGCTGCCGCCGCGGGAGAAGCAAGACATACAATGAAGCGGCGAATAATAGTAAAAAGAGTAGGCGCCCGCCAGGGAGAAGAGGTCAGCAAGTACCTGAGTGTAAGGTCGCCACCCCGTAAACCCGAAAGAACCTTGATAAAACCCAACCCATGATATCGTTGGTACAAGCTGCCTCAATCTACGGTAAAAACAATACGTCAGATGTAAGCGAGTGCTGAGGATGAGTGGGAAGAGTAACGCTGGTATTATCAGCTGCAAGATAGTGACCGAGTCACTGCTACTGGCTGCTGCTGCAAGTGCTAGAAGAAAAAAGTGACGTACACCGCCAAAGTAAGCCGTCCAATCCACCACCACCACCACCACAACCCAGGCTCAGCACCAAGACTCCTTCCCAAGTATCATTGGTATCGGCACAAGCTAGGTGCAACAGGAGTGCGGTGCGACAAAGCGAGCAAGTGCTGAGTGGCAGGAAAACAGAGCGCGAACTAGGAGTGGGAGAGCTACGATGGTATATTGTTAGGCTGGCGTATTGCATGGCTGGCCTATTGTGCGGGTCATGCTTGCAGTAGAGAAGGCTGGCTGATAGAAGTTGGCTGGCACGGAATGCTGGCCTTTGGTAGCCTTATTGGGTAAAGCAACGTACTCAGAGAATCGCCACACACACATACACACACAAACACACACACACACATAAAACAGGCCCGCCTCCATCTCCACACGCCGCCTTAGTGTCAAATCGCCGCAGCACTTATGATCAAGAGGCTACCAATACTAAAAACGTGGCGTTTGCCACCAACGTGTGCACAATGTGGCGCCTGAGTGGTCGAGTATGCGGTACATGTATAGGTATGGAGTGGCGCCGCAACGTGCAATTCTTGGGCTGCTACTCTTGTTGCAACTTAGGCTGGTGTGTGCAACATGGTTGGCCGAGCATGCAAGTAAGAGTGGCAATGCAACGTGTAATCCTTGGGCTGATACCATGATGGCTATGGAGTAAGAGTACAGCAATCCATTGCGGAGCGGAAGGAAGAGGACGAGGCAATGTAGGGAGAGCAACGCTGCCATCATCAGCTACAAGCTAGTGATCGAGTCACTGGCACTAGCTGCTGCTGCTGCTGCAAGCACGAAGACAAGATAGCGTTATCTCCAAACATAAGCCGTCCATTCCACCCCCACACTAACCCAACGCGGTACGAAGATCCCTCCGCAAGTATCGTTGGTACCGTCACAAGCTAGAATGCAACAGGCGCACGGTGCGACCGATGCATGCAAATGCTGGTTGGGAGAAAAACAAGACGGGGAGTAGAACTGGGAAAACTACGCTGGTATATCGTTAGGCTGGCCGAACGTATGGCCTGCCTGCCGTGGGCTACGCTTGCGGCAGGGAAGCAGGCTGATATAAGTAGGCTGGCATCGAATGCTGGCCAGTGGTATGCCCTATTGGGTAAAACAACGCAGGCAGAGAACCCCCCTCCCACCTCCCCCCCCACCCCTACCCCCACCCACGCCGCCCTCCCACCCCCCACCCAACAGGCCCAACTCAAACACCGCAAGCCCCCATAGTGCCGGTTCGCAGCGGCACAGTTAACCAAGAGGCTAAAACCATGGCGCGTGCTGACAACGCGTGCATAATGTGGCGCTTGACTGATCGAGTATGCGATGCATCTCTATGGAGTGGCGCTGCAAAGAGTGGCAATGCAACATGGAATCCTTGGGCTGCTACCCTTGTCATAAGGAGCAGGAGTAAAACAATCCACTCTGAGGCGCATGGAAGTGCAGTGCGTCGACGCAGGCAAGTGCGGAGCGGCAAGAAACTAGCGCGCGAAGGATGTGTGGGGAGAGTAACGCTGGTATTATCAGCTGCAAGCTACTGGTCGAGAAATGGCACTGGCAGCTGCCGCGGGTACTACAAAAAAGTGGCGTGCAACGCCGAAGGGAGCCGCCCGCGCCGACACCCACAACCCTCGTATGTACAAGCTCGCCTCCATCCCAACAGGCCCACTCAGCGTCAGTAAGCCGCAGCGCTGTTAACCAAGAGGCTGCCAGTAACTAAAGGAGCTTGGCGTTTGCCGCCGAAGTACGCATGCTGTGGCGCCTGAGTGGACGAGGGTTTGCGACGCAGGTCTGGCGTGTGCAGAATTGTTGGCAGAAGGGCAAGTAGAAGTGGCAATGCGACGCGCTATCCTTGGGTTGCTACCCTTGCGATGGAGCAAAGGCAAAGCAAGCGTCAGCGACGGGGTAGAGGCGGGGGGGCAGGGGCCGTGGGCAACCGAAGTAGAGGATGGCAGAGAAACCCTAAGCATCCGCGGGACGCCCAGGGCGACTGCTGCCCGCAAGAGTCGGTAGGGTACGGTCCCAGGGGGTGAGGGGGGTCATGCGTCATTATCGGCTAAGTCAACGGGCCTCTTAATACGCGGGAGAACACATGGGGACAAGTGGAATGCAAGGCCGGCAACAAGATAACTGAGACGAGAACCGTGAGCAATATGGCGAAGGGACAATTAAGGTAACATGCCGAATTATAGCAGCGGGACTCGCTGACTCGCACAGTGTGGAGGAACGCTGGGAAGGGGAGGGGGTCAGCCATTCCAGTTTTGCGGTAATCGGCGACGGGGAAGAGCCTGTGGTGGATGTTGCGGTAAGTGCATGCCCTATTGAAGCTCGTCTGCGTCGTCTTGGTACTCTGTGCTGTGCGTTGTCGTGTGGTTCTCATGTGACATTGCTGCCGTCGTCTGGGTTCTTCTGTTGCTGCTTGGGTTTCGGTGGTACTTTAAAGATAAGTGGATACGGCTTGCGCTGTGGTGCTTCTTTGATTGGTGTGCCATGTTGAGCGTTGCGGATGTGAACTTCGGTGAGGTGCTGTTCGCTCTGTGCTTGACGCGAACGCACGATGGCAAGATGTGTCGGTTGGCCACCTGACGCGCACAGTGGGACAGCCAATGCCCGGGCCGCTCTGTGGACCTGGCAGATTGTCGAGCACCGCGGCGCTCGGCGGGCAGCTGGCGGGCCTGCGACGCTCGTGGAAGTGGGCGAGCTCGCACTCGCTGTTCTCGTCGCCATCGTCGGCGCGGCGCTGCTTCCCGACGTCGAGTCGGGGAACGCAGCGCGACGACGTTGCGGGTTGGGCGCGGCGACCCCCCTAGGCCGCAACGCTCAAGCCCCGCCTATCAGCGGGTCAGCCCCCAAACTCACGCGCTGGCGGTCGGGGCCAACCTGCGCATGCAGAGGCAATTGTTTCTCCCCCCCCTCGCCCTCCTTTCCCGCCACGGCGCCGCCGTTCTGGTCCACGGCGGCGCGCCTGCTTTGAGGCCGCGCATCCACGCGTTCGGCACCGCGCCCCCTTCATCAGCGCGGCCGCTGGCAACCGGTAGGCGAGGATGCAGATTATTGCTGTTCTCTCTTTCTCTCTTTCTCTCTTTCTCTCTTTTTCTCCTTTGCCTGCGCGGAGCGCACAATCGCGGCTGGAGGGCATTGCGGTCGAGGCCCCCATCGTCGACTTTGCGGGCGCGGGGGCCATGGCGCGCATTGAGGGGGAATCGCTGGGAACGTTCTGGATGGGAGTTGCAGTGATTGCGGGAAGGTGGACGGCCAAGTTTAGGAACAAGAGCACAGGCATCTTCATGCTGGCACATAGATGGCCACGATGAGTTCGAAGTATTGGAACGTCACTACCTAAATTTGAACATCGTGGGATGGGATCTATTTCAGGCTCCATAGCGCATCCATGTTTGCGATGGCGACTCTATATCCACTGAAACCTTGGCTAACAAGTGACCAGTGAGATCTCACCTATGCTGTGAAAAGCCGAGTTGTTGGGCATCGCGGACTACTGGCCAGGCACCTAACTCAGAGATCGTGTTCTTGGAGCAAGATGAGAAGGACGGCATGGGCCCCACAAAGATGGATGGACAGTGGCATTACGTGGGTGGGCAGTCTATTGGCCTGGTCGCGACACTGGATTGCCGTCGATTGGGAGCAGGACTTCGGACGCGTGAGTTCATGGAGGAGCACGGGGCGCATTCGATGTGCGCGCAGGATCGCATCGCCCACGTGTTCTACGACGCACAGGGCAACGCCAGCATGATTGATACAATCATGTTGACCGAGGCGCTGGCCAAGATAGCAAAGTGCAAGGCCATCCTCTCTCGTCTTGGTCGTCGGCTAAAGTACATTCCTGCACCTGAGCATCGTGACCTCCTATCTGCACATGTTCGCTTGGGTATTGAGCTGGATTTTGAACGGGCAGCTTCACTGGAAGGGGGGAGCTCCCAATTGGGTTTGTACGATGAGGTGAAGTGGGACATGGGCGCGCTGAAGAAGGCGCTGCAGGGTTCGAACAAGTGCCACTTGTTCCTGACCAAGGTGGAACAACGATTGGCAGGCTTCTTTCTTTTAATGCGACATGTAACCGGAGATGGACATCTCAAACTGCTGAACTGTTCGGACGAAGCTCACGCGCACGAGAGAGGTGCAGCCAACAAGTTCCACGCCGACAGCGGGGAAGAGCTCCGCGAGCACGGGGCGGAGGGCGAGGAGGTGGACCTATCGTTGCCAGGGCCGTCGCTCGTCGCCATCTCTTTCATGATGCTTAGGGTCATCATGAAGACGGGTATGCTTGCCATCCAGGTTATGTCAAAGGAGTTCTTCGATAAACAGCTGAAAAACAAGAGCCCTCCGCTAACGGCCTCGCTCGTTCTTCACTTTGCGATCTGTGCTTAGTGGGCGACTGGCCCGAAGAAAATGGAGGACTGGGTCAGGTTGCAGATCGCACTCTGGTTGGCCCCCGAAGCTCAGGTGGTCTTGGGAAGTCTGGAAGTAGCCTTGGCGGATGTAAAGGCGGCGCTGCCCATGGAATCTGTGCAGACGGGCCCGCTCGAGAGCCTGTTATCATGCCTTCGGTTCCGCTTGAGGGGGTGAGGGTGACTGAAGCCTGCGCCATGAGTGATCAGTTGTTTGTATTGATTTCGCGAGGTTGTGTGCCACAGCCAGCTAAGATTGATTTTCATGTGGGGCCCTGTGTAAAAATGCGTCGTCGTCGTGATGGGGCGGGGGGGGAGAGGGGACAACGAGTCATGAGGTGCTGTCAGTGCCAGCGGGGTCGCCGCGGGGCTGCTCCCCGCCGAAGGCGTTCCTCGCGGCCTAGCGGTTATGTGGCCGCCGCAGGGCCACGTCTCTCGGGATCATTGAGGTTGGCACGTTTGCCGCACACGGTCTGACAGATTTGCTGTTTGAATGTGCATGTTCTTACTGATTGATTCAGCTTCATTTTCCATGTTGTCCAATGCCACTGTTACACAGTAGCGAGCTACTCATGGTTGAACCGGCCCCAAGTGCTTTCGTATCGTATCGTATCGTATCCTTTTCCTCCTCCCTCCTGCTCCTCCTCCTCCTCCTCCTCCTCCTCCTCCTCCTCCTCCTCCTCCTCCTACTCCTTCTCCTCTTCCTTGATTCCTTTCCCTCTCCCCCTTCTCCTCCTCCTCCTCCTCCTCCTCCTCCTCCTCCTCCTCCTCCTCCTCCTCTCCTCCTCCTACTCCTCCTCCTCCGCCTCCGCCTCCGCCTCCGCTGGGCGCCGAAAGGCTGGGCGTGCGGGCCTGCGCGGATCCATTCTCTGCCCAGGCCCCCAACGTCCTGGAGACGTCTTGGCCTCGACGGACGAGAATGGGGGCTCAGCGCCCGGCAAGGAGCAGCCGGAGGGGGAGAGAGAAGGAACTTGTTCCTGTTGGGGGGGAATCGCCCTTCGAAGGAGAGCTTCTTGTACGCTGGCAGGGTGGCCGAAGAAGACGGAGAAGGAGAAGGAGAAGGAGGAGGAGGAGGAGGAGGAGGAGGAGGAGGAGGAGGAGGAGGAGGGGGAGGCGGAGCGTACCCAAGAAGGTCTCATCCGCCATTCTAGCACCTGCTGCTACTTTGCCGCCTCATCTCCTGAAGCCGAAAAGAAGGGGGCAACATGAATCACCTGAAACCTAGGAAAACAAATCGCCATCGGAAGAATCTTCACCTCGATTGGGCTGGTGCCTCGGCTGCCCGGCTCCTCTGCCCGACACTCAAACCGAGGGGGGAAGGTCTAAACAGATCTCCTGATACCCGGCGAAACGCAGCAGATTCGGGAACACCATCTACTATTCTGCCTGTACGGGCACGTGCGACGCTGCTGCTATCCCTCTCGACAGCAGGGCTCGCATCATGCAACCTGCGCCTCGGAGACGGACACGGCGAAGCAGCCGCGGGAGTCCCCGAACACGCAGCCCGGCACTCCCCTGTTACGGGATTAGGGCTAGCCCTACAGCTTAAAACGAGGGCAAGTGAGCTGGAGGCCTCGGGGGACACCGCGGGGCTCCAACAGGGCACAACCGCAGACGGCCTCAGGGTACTCGAAGGCTCACTCAAGACAGCCTCAGACTTCTCGGGATCATCCGATGCCTCGGAATCTCTAAGAATGGGAGGCGCATGGCCGTTATCCGATACGAACGAATGACTCGAGGAGGAGCTCGAAGAAGAGGACGAGCTCGGGACTTCCACGTCACTAGCCATTGAACCAGAGTCACCGTCAGCAGGGAGATCAGCACGCGCCTCATGCACAATGCCAGCGACATGGTCCAAAGGATGAGGAGGAGGAGGAGGAGGAGGAGGAGGAGGAGGAGGAGGAGGAGGGGAAGGAGGACCAGGAGGAACAGAACGCGGAGGAGGAGGACGCCCACGAGCAGGAGGTCCAGGATCAGCAGGATGGGCAGCAGGAGGAAAGAGCCGGCGGCGCGCCCAGGGGGGCAAGGCAGAGGGGGCGGGCCTCCTCAAAGGCTCAGAAGACCTCTGGCCTCCTGAGCAGGCGGAAAGAGGAGAGAGCCTGCGCTGCGTGCGACGGCGGGGGAAAAGCCGCCTCCGGCGGCGCGCAGGGGCACGCCGAGGGCGAACCGGATGCGGCGGAGCTGCACGCCAAGACGCTCCGCAGGGAAGGCAGAAGGAATCCTGGAGGGAAAGGATCCTGGAGGTTTTGCACCGCTTGCGGGCTCCCGGTGCCCTCCCCAGGCCCCAGGGCCATTGAAACAGCAGCTCGGGATGCAAAGTTGGTCAAAGTTGGTCACGGGGGAAGCCTCAGGGTCAAAGGCCCGTTTCCACCAGCATGCCGACCGCCAGTGCTTGCGATATCGGGCTCTTGGAGACAGGTTTCGGAGCATGGGGTCAACAAAACACGTGGCGCGAAATCAACGCGAGTGCTGGGGTCGAGAGCTCCAGAGCCCTAGGGATTGAACCAGAACAAGGCGTCGGAGGTCTGGGCAGGGATCAGAGGTTTCCTGGTTGGGCCGCACTCAGCTGCAAGCATACAATAGACCAGGAAGATCTCTAACCAGTCTGTCATTCTGCGAGCCGCCAATGGAGTCCACGTCGGGGGCAGTACCGACCCACGCAGAAGTATCTACCCTATCAGCCATGCCCGAAGCCGTCTGTGAAGGGAACTCATGCTGCATGCGGTACTACTACGGAGCCGACGAAGGTCACCCCAGCCGCCCCCTCGACGGCGATCCATGGTCGGGGCGCTCCGAGGCAGACCACAGCATCAGATGGGGGAGCTGCTGGCCTTCGCCACAGCGAGGAGCCACGAGTCCACAGTGTCGTGAGGCGGCAGGACGACGTTACCACTTGGACCAGCGGTGACATCGGCCCCTCCTTGCCCCACCATTTGGCGCTGTCGGCAGCCTTCCGCTTCGCAGTCTTGTACTCGTACCGCAGCATGTGCAGCCTGGGGCGCCGAACACCCATGCCGACACCACGTCTTACTGTGTCAAACGAGATCCCTCCAGCATAAGCGGCAGCTCGGCAGAGGCCAGGCATTGAGGCGGCAGATGTGCCGACACGCTGACCTAGATCGCGCTGGACTCAGTGCTTCGCACAACTGGATCTACATTACAAGAACATTCCAAGCGAAGGCCGACACGGAACACGTATCAGTCAATTGGCGAACAGACGGAGGGACGGGGCCGTGGGGAGTGGCAGAGAAGTCGAAAGAAGAGAAGGAGAAGCAGAGAGAGAGAGAGAGAAAAAGAAAGAAAGAAGTATAGAGGGAGAGAGGTACAACAAAAGAAAGAAGGAGAACAAGAGTGCGTGACACTTAAGGCATGCAGCCCTGCGAATGCATCCGCTTCTGCGGCCAGCTCTCTGCACACCTGCACGCCAGCATCGGTGCCGTCTGCACAATCAGTCACTTGGTGACCCCACTTGTGCCCCCCATTCTGCCAGCTGGTGACGAGCATGGGGCCACCCGCCGCTTCCCGTCGCGGGACGCGCTCCACGCGAAAACCATGACTTGGGGGCCTTTGGACGGCTGGCTATGCGTGGCTCATGTCTGGTCGGCTCGCCCTGAGGACTAAGGCTGACTCCAGGCTGCCCCGAAGATCTGCCACAAGGGCTGCACACAAAAAACATACAAAGTACGTCTGCCAGCCTGGACCCCAAACAGTGACGTATTGCACTGCGGATGTGTAAAATATGGCGTGTTAAATGCGTGGTCAAAGCTATGTTGTGTAAGCTATGCGGTGCAAGCTACGTGGTGCAAACTATGCTGTGCAAGCTGGGTACTGTAAGCGATGTGGTTACGCTATGAGGTCCAAGCTATACTGTGAAAGCTGAGTGGTGTACGCTATGCCGTGCAAGCCATTTGTAAGCCAAGTGGTGCAAGTCTAGTGGTGCACTCGATGTAGTGCCAGTTACCTGGTGTAAGCTATGTCGGGTAAGCTGTGTGGTATAAGCTATGTTGTGAAAGCGATAAAAGCAAGCTGTGGGCGGACCCACCAAGCGAGCGGGACGCCCACGAGGCGCCCACAACCGGCCACCAACCAAGCAACAGGCGAAACCTCGGCGAACCCGTCCAGTTCCCCAGCGCTCCTTCACACGAGAGAACGCGTCCGTGGCACACCACATACCAGATGGGGGGGCGCCCGGCTTAGCTACCACCTCCCCCTTGGACCTCCCCTGCTGGAAGCCTTCCCCCCTCCTTTCGTTCCCGCCCCTCAGAAGCAGCTACCCCCCCCCTCCTCTCGCGCTGCGGAAGCTGCCCCCCCCCTTCCCTCCTGTTCCAAAAGGAGGCTTCCCCCCCCCGCCCCCCCTTGGACCTCTCCTGTCAGAAATCCCCCCCCCTTTTTTTCCTGCTCCCCCGAAGCTCCCCCCCATTTGCAATCCGGAGCTCCCCCTCCTCCGAAGCTCCCCCTCCTCCGAAGCTCCCCCTCCTCCGAAGCTCCCCTCTTTTTTTCTGCTCCTCCGAAGATCCCCCTCCGAAGCTGCCCCCAGCTACCACCCCCCCTCCTTTCCAAAGGGCGGGGGGCTTAGCTACAACCCCCACCCTTCTTTGAGCCTCTCCTGCCGCACCCCCCCTCCCTTTGGACAGCAGGGGGCGGGGGGTACCTTTCGGAGCGCGATAGGCAGGGGTGGTAGCTTCCAAGGGGCGGAAAAAAAGGAGGGTGGTGGGGGGGCTTCCGGGGGGTAGCTAGGACCACCCTCTCCTTCTTTTTGGCTGGGGGGGCTTGGAAGCCCCCCCTTGTCCAAAGGAAGGAGCGCCGAAGACCAAAGGGCGCCGCCGAAAAGCAGAAGAGCAGGCGCCGAAAACCAAAGGGCCATCGAGGACCGAAAGTGTTCAAAGAGCAGAGGCGCGCCGAAAACCGAAGGAGCGCCAAAAACCGAAGGGCGCCGAACACTTAAGGGGCCCCGAGAAGCAAAAGGGCGCCGAAAACCGAAGGAGCGCCGAAAACCGAAGGAGCACCGAAAATCAAAAGGGGCGCCGAAAATCAAAAGGGGCGCCGAAAACCGCAAGGTCGCCGACAACCAAAGGGATGCCGAAAACCAAAGAAGCGCCGAAAACCAAAAGAGCGCCGAAAAGCAAAGGGGCACCGAAATCCCAAAGACGCCGAAAACCAAAAGAGCGCCGAAAACCAACAACCAAAGATGCGCCGAAACCAAAAGAGCGCCGAAGCCGAACACCAGAGCAGCCCCAAAAACCAACCAAAAGGGCGCCGAACACCAAAGGGCCGCCGAACTTGAAAATGACGCCGAAAACCACAGGTGGGGCCCAAAACCAATGAGGCGCCGACAACCAAAGGGTCGCCAAACACCAAACTGGCACCGAAAACCAACACGGTGCCGAACATCCAAGGAACACCGAATTTCAAAAGGGCGCCGAAAGCCAAAACGGCGCCGAATACCAAAGGGGTGCCGAAAACCAAAGGGGCGCCAAAATTCACAAGGAAGACGAGAACCAAAGGAACGCCGAACACCGAAAGGGCGCCGAAAAACCAAAGGGGCGCAAATAATCAAAACGAGGAGGAAAACCAAAAAAGCGCCAGAAACAAAAAGCGGCGCCCAAAACAAAAGATGTGCCAGAAACAAAAATGGCGCCGAAAACCAACAGGACACCGAAAACCAAAGGTGCGCCGAAAACTGGGAGGGCGCTGAAAATCAAAGGGGCGCCGAATACCAAAAGGCGCCGATAAGTAAAATAATGCCGAAAGCCAAAAGGGGCGTCGATAACCAAAAGGGCGCCGAAAACGAAGGGGGCGCCGAAAACAACAGAAGCTCCGAAGACGGAAAGGGCGCCGAAAACAAGAACAGCGCCGAAAACCAAAGGGGCGCCAAAATACCCAAAGGGGCGCCGAAAACCAGGGGGCGCAAAGAACCAAAACGAGGACGAAAACCAAACAAACGCCTATCACAAAAAATGGTACAGAAAACGAAACATGCGCCAGAAACAAAAAGGGCGCCAGAAACCAAAAGGATACTGAAAACAAAAAGTATCGCCGAAAACAAAGAGGGCGCCGAAAACCAAAGGGGCGCCGAAAACCAAAAGGCGCCGAAAACTAAAGACGCGCAGAACTAAAGACGCGCAGAAAACCAAAAGGGCGCCGGAAACCAAAGATGCGCCGAAAACCAAAACGGCACCGAAAAACCAAAGGAGCGCCGATAACCAAAAGGGCGCCGAAATCGAAAGGGGCGCCGAAAACAACAGAAGCTCCGAAGACGGACAAGGCGCCGAAAACCAAAGAAGCGCCGAAAACAAACGGTGCGCCGAAAACCAAAAAGGGGCGCCGAACTTGAAAAGGACGCCGAAAAACCAAGGCGCGCCGGTAACCAAAAGGGCGTCGAAAACCAAAGGGCGCCAAAAACCAAAGGAGCGCCCAAAACCACAGGGGCGCCAAAAGTCCAAAGGGGCGCCAAAAGCCAAAGGGGGCAGAAATAGCCAGGGACCACCCTGCTATAACATCCAAACAAAAAGAGGGGGGGGGCTTCGGAAGCCCCCCCCCCTTGAAAGGGGAGCCCCGGCTGACCTTGCGCTCCTGAAAAGAAGGGGGGGTAGCTTAGAAGCCCCTCCCCTTTAGCTAGGGCCCCCCTAGCTCCGAAATGCCCACAAAAGGAAGTGGAGCGGAGGGAGCTTCGGAAGCCCCACCCGCTCCTTTCCAAGGGAGGGGGATGGTAGCTTCAAGCTGGGGACCCCCTTTTAGTAAGAGGTGTGCCACGATCGCGCTCTTTCACAAATAAGAGCGCTCAAGTGCCAGCACCGCTTGGGGAATAGCCGTGACTTGTGACAATGTGTTTTTTTCTCGGGTAACGGTGGTTACTCGGGGGGGGAGGGGCAAGAAGGTAACGGTAACGGCGGCCGCAGAGTGCACCCGCCAGGGTGCGTCCGCGCCACCGGCGCATCAATCGCCTGCGAACACCACAACATTACGGGGGGGGATCCAACCCGCCCCCCACTACGATCGTTAGCGCTGTCCGGGGTTTAGGATGACCGTTAACGAGCGCGACCCTGGGGAGGACAAAACAACGCTCACCCTCTCGGCTAATCGGTGCTGCGCGCGGCCTCCGTACACTTGTCAACCCAGCACATGGGAGAAAACATATTCCCACTCGTAAGCTCTCCCCAGCAAGGGTTCAGAGGCCTCGCTATCAAGTATCGCGAAGATCATTTTGCAACAACGCAATGGTCTGCCCCTTGAGCGCAAGTTCGCATACATGGTGAGCTCAAGTCGTCAGGTTTCCCATGACACGCGCTAGCTTCCGCATCTGGCCCTAGCGTGCGATGCATCAACGAATACAGAGCGCAGAACATCCCTCCTCATCCTTCCGTCTTACAACTCCTGCACGCCACCGAACTTTGTATCGCCCCTGTCCTCCAACAATGATTCCTCCTCCTCATCTTCATCCGTGTCATCCTCGTCCCCCTTAGCTTCACTATCCTCCCTTCCTCCGAATGAATTCGCCTGCTACTCCTGCCCCTGCTTCTCCTACTTAGCATCATCAGATTGATCATATTATTCTTCCGCATCGTCAACATCCGTATCCCCCTGCAGAAAGACGAACTGCCGAGGTGAGATCCTCTCGCGCGGGTCTGACGGGCCACCATCACCTAGACCCTTGTCCTTCTCTTGCAAGACATTTCGCGCCATCCAGACTAAGTCCTGGGCGGGGGCAGGGCTCAATGGCACTCAAGCTCTGGACTGTCGGAGTGCCCATCGTCTTCGAATTGATGTGGGCAAACGAATTGCCCAAGCCACATGTGTGCACGTACGCATGAGCAGGTTCTCCAGACGCAACTGGACTTGCTAGGGAAGCAAATCAAGCCAACTGGGACGACAACATGATACCACCTGGCTGTGTAGATGATGCTGGTCATAATGCACTGCTGTCTGACTTGCCATTTCCTGTGGCATCCCTGTCAGCGCGCTGCCATCCCTGTCTCTGTCGTCCTGCCTTCGCCTTGATCCTCCCCACCCCTTCCCCCAGGCCTTCCCCGCGCTGTCGGATTGCCCGGTCCATCAGACGAGCTCGTTCCACTGCTCACAAAGTAACTACTCGCAAATGGCCTGGATTCGCCGCGGGGAATCTACGATACATTACATCGAAACGGACATGCGTTTTGGGGATGTTTGCGAGTAAGCACTTTGCAAGTAGTGGAACGCGCTCGGTGATCTATCGTTATTCCTACTCATGTAAGGTGTCGGCTGCAGGGCTGCCGGGGCTCAGAGCGCCGCTCACATACCAAGTGTGGTGTGCTACTTGCTGCGTTGTCAACCCCATGGGGCACATTGCGTGCTGCACATCAGATTGCCACCACCATGTGATGTTCACTTGCTTCGGGCTTCTGGGCCACCAACCAAAAAAACAATATTATCGCAAGGATGTGCCCAAGGGGGTGCTCGATTTGCTTTCGAACTTCAAACATATGGGTTGATTGCGCGTAATGCTTGACTATTGTTCAATGTTGTTGGGCTGTGTGCACGACCGTGTTTGGATGGCTTGAGCTTTCTTCATGGATGTCATAACACATTGTGTGACCACTTTACGAGGAGCATTTGCATTCCAACTGTCAGAGATGTGCTTGTACGTGGCAGCGCCCATCGAGCTGTCTAGCCCGAGATTGCTCGTATCCAGCGACGGCAGCAAGACGCCTCTGGGCTGCTCCAAGACCAGGAAAAGTAGTACACCGCCTGACGTGTGGTCGTTACGCATCCGAACGAAGGCCCATAAGGCCTCCCAAGGCAAACCGTAGGCTTCGGAGAACCCAAAACGTTATGCTTTTAAATTCATTCCCAGTGCAGCCCCCTTCGTGGCTCATCCTGATTCCCAAAAAGCCTCGAAGTGGCCTCCTGGCCTCCCGAGGGACCCCTCGAAGGGCCCAAACGAAACCCAAGTCTTCTCAAGACGGTTGCACACGTGCCCCACACACCTTCAAGATAGCCCAAGATGGCTCGGGTGGGTTTCAATGCGACACCAGACGGTCCACAGACCGACCTCGACGGCCCCGATGCCCAAAAGACGTCGGACAGGCTAGTTTGTACGCCCCACGTCCCCGAACGTCTCCAAGAGGCCCCATCAAGGCCTCCACTCTGCGAGGCTCCCGAGAAGACTCTGCGAGGCCCCTGAGCGACCTGCGCAAAGCCTCATTCGGACTGCAACGCCGCTGCGCCCCCCCGGGGGGGACACGGGAAGAATCTGCGTCAGGCCGTGGGGGACGCGTACAGCGAACGGGAAACAGCGGCTAGCCCATCCCCATGACGCTCCCACGTTCTACCTTTTATGGCTCTGGGGGGATATCCTTGTGACCCCAGTGCGGCTCCCATCTGCGTTCGTACAACAGCCCGCGCAGTTGGCTTTCCCAACCACATTGGATATCCCATGAAATAATCAGTGTTGGAATCGATTTCCTCCCTGTGGATACTACTCCAGCTATCCCTGGGGCAGTCCCTATCGCTATCCAAGCAGCTTTCAATATAGCAATTCATCCGGCTACCCTTGTGGCAAAGTCAGCGGCTTCTCCTATGGATATCGCTGCGACTGGGCAAATTACTATAGTTGTGGCTACCGTCATGGCCTTCGCGATTACCAATATATGGTGAACTCTACGGCGCAACGGTTACGGATATGGCCATCAGTCGAGCTATACCAATGGCCACCCTTGAGCCCCGATTATAAAACTTGTTTGCTCTTGGGCCTGGAACCGACATCATCAACATGGGCTGCGGAACGCATGAACGGAATTGAACCAGATTTTTTTTCAGGATACGCGGGTCCAATGTTGGTGTCGCCTTACGTTGTCCGATCTGATCCCCGTCCGTGTGGACCGAAACTTGTCTCTCGCGGATCTGGTGTCCATGCTATTTTTGTGTTACGCGGATATCATTTTCACCACGGTCTCTTTTTGATGATATTAAGTAAAAGCGGGGACCCAGACGGCAATCATATCCAAGGCCCCAGACAGAGCCCGCGCGTTAAGATTCTAGGTGGGCCCGGAAGGCGGATCGCAGCGTCGCGGTTCGCACCGCGAGAAGAAAACCTTTCGCCCCGGGTAAGCAGCCCTGTGGCACAATGGCTAAGGGTAGCCATATTGGGAGCAGATTGCTTACCACAGGTCTCAACTGAAATGTTCGACCCATACGTGTAGGCGAGTATGTATGTGCTTGCCATAATGATTGCGTCTACGCTTGCTCGATTGCTTGTTTGCGTAATTGATTGAACTGACTGGCTAGTTGCTTGACTGCTTGCTCGCATGCGTCCATGCTCGTTTACGTGCTGGCTTGTATGCTTACATGGATGATCGCGTGCGTGCGTGATTGAATAATTAATTGCCCGGCTGCACGTGTGCATGCTTCGCTCGTGCATGCATGTTGCTTACAGACTGCGTGGTTGAGGTTGTACATGGTGGATTGTTTGCATGACTGCATGCATGCAAGCTTCGTGAACCGTCGCTACTACAGGACTCGATACGTGTGTGTGTGTGTGTTGCTTCCGCGCTTGCCTGCATGATCGCTCGCAGGATTATTTGCTTGGGTGGCTGATCGCATGCGTGTCCGATCACTTGCATGCTTGAGTGCTTGCGTGTCCGCATGCCTGGCTGCCTGTTTGTTTGCTTGGGCAACTGCTTGCCTGCATGACTGCAAGCCTGCCTGTTTGCTAAATGGACTACTTGACTGGCTGCCTCCTTGCATGCATTATTGATCGTTTGCGTTTATATGTGTAATCTCAACTGCTTGCGTGCATGATCCCTGCCCGCATTATCTCTCTTGTATTTCTGACAGTCCCATTTGGTCGTCGAAAGTAAATGCACAGTTCGCATGGGATTCCTGCGCGGCCTTGCAATTGCCTTGCCACACTCGTACGGATCCCCACGGCTCCCCCATTGTATTGCATGCGCGTCTGATTGCAACCAAAGTTTTCCAATGTGGTATTGGAGATGCTCCTGCTGCGGATTAGAACTATGTCCTGGCGCCTTGCTGTCATAAGTTCAAACTATACGTCAGTTCCAACTGCTGACGTCATCGTTCTACATAAACCTGCCAGTCTAATCGCGCGCCAAGTGGATCCTGACCAGCTGGGCCGATCATCCCAGAGCCTTCTCGATAAGGGTGATCAGACTAACCACCACCAGCAAACACATCGTCGAAGAACAGCTTGTTCATACATTGCCGATGCGTGCTTCAACACTCCAGGCAACTCACGACGCCGCCGGTGTGAGAGAGAGATGAACGAGCAAGACAGCCAGTCAGCATGTACCCACCCCCTGTGGAATTGCGGCTGCATAGGGCACTTGGCCGCAGGACACTCCACAGAGACGCGTGCGCCTTGAGGGTCACGCACAGAGAGGTGAGAGAAGAAAGAGAAGAGGATAACTGCGGGCGTCGCCACCGTCCTGGCCTGAGACATCTTCCACAGCCAGTCCCGCACACAGTTCACGGCATGGACGTGACAACCTACACTTGACAAAAGCTACTGAGGACAGCTTGTGCGGCCTGCCGAGGCTGATCTGTACGTTGCTTCTGCTGGGACGATTCTGTGACGGCTCATCGGGCCGCCTCTCCACACAATATCGCATAGACTTAACATCATTATTGCTGTTGCTACTGCCTCTCCAAATGCTGCTGTCAACATCAATATGTGACGATATGTATGTTGCCTCTGCCTCTCCACACAGTATCACATAAACTTGGCATCAGCATTCCAATCAAGAGCCGATGCATGCTGATAAAAGGTCTGCGGATAAAGGTCCTCGAGCTTCTCCGTCGACGGGTACAGCTCCTTGAACCACTGACCATAGTGCCCAATGAGCACCTCGCGGGCGGAAGTGAAACACGACACATACGACGATCGCTCGAAGCATTCGACCACGCTGAATCACAAGGATACCGCTTCACTTCTTCGAAAGAACGCGTTCGGTGGTCGTTTGCAGGGGGACCGACGGGGAGTAGGGGGGGGGAACGAAGCCCCCCTCCTCCTCCCACGACGACAGCCGGCGCGTCGTCGTCGTCGTTTGCAGGCGCCAGGGGGGGGTGGCGCGGGGAATGATCGGGGGGCCCCTGCACCCTGTGGTGTGGGTGGGGGCTCCCCCCCTTGCGCGGGGGGGCGGGTTAGCGCGCAGAGTGGCTGTTGGGAGACGGGGAGGGGTCTCGGTTTCGGACCCCACCCCCTCCAGGCATGTTTTTGCCAAGTGCGCGTGACACGCGCTCCCACCGCCTCCTGGCCATGAGAAGTGGGCTATCCCTTCGAAATGCCGTGTCTACCGACTCTCCAACCCTTTGGAATCCTCATGACCGCCCAGTGCCGGCTCGACTCCGCACCACGCACGCGCAGCGGCGAGAGGGCGTGCTGCGGGCCAGCTGTCGATCAGGTTCTACTACGCTGTGCTCGGACACCCCTTCGATGCTCGGTCTGGACCCTGGGCACTCCACAAGAAGATCATGGTCGAAGATATGGTGGCCGTCGCCATAGCCTGGCTGCAGTCGGGCCAGCAAAAATAAACCATCCACACAAAGCTAACAGAGCATCCGAGCCACCGGCCTTGCCCAGACCCTGGACGTCCCTGTAAGAATGGATTGGTTGAATGCGAAACTGTCTTCAAAGAGCCGTTCTTACGGTTGCTGCCGATGCGTGGGCCCCAGAACTCTCGACCGCACCTTCCACAAGGATTGCGCGCCGTGGGCACAAAGAGGCTGGAAAAAGGAGAAGCGGGAAATTCAATGGAAGTGGAAGCGGCCAGGGCTGGAAACTCCTCAACCAGCACTGACGAGGCCGCGAGAGCTGGAAAAAACCTGGACGCAAACTACCCAGAGCGAGAGAGAGTGGAAGGGCTGGCCACAGCCACTCTGTGCTGCCTCCGTGAAATACAAGAGGTACACCTCCTCAAACAAATCTTGCCACAGGAAATCCAGGGGCACACGCGTCGTCGAACGCTGAGCTTCCTGCGGTGCCCCAGGGCGTCTGCGGGCTCCCAGGGCCGTCAGGGGCGTCAAGGCATCTCCGCGGGGCCCTTGCTGGCAGGCCGCCTTCTGACTTGCCGCGCCTGCCGTGTTGCCTGAGGAGCGGGGCACCCAGGCTCTGCCCATCCAGCGTCGGCCCATCCAGCCAGCACCCGTCCGCCCAACCCTCGCCGGGGCGCTTCCGCGGCCTCGCCCTCGGCCCGACGGTGCCAGCGGCCAGCCCCGGGGTGAGGGGGAACGGCGCAGGGGGAGCGACGGGGGCGGGGCTGGCTCCGCGGGGCGGGCGGGCTCAGAGGGGGGGCGCAAGGCGGAAGGCGGGAGGCAGGCAGGGCAAAGGTGGAGGGGGTGGAGGGACTGTCTCGGGGCTGGAGGGAGAACCACAAGGGGGAACGGCGATGAGGGAAGGGGAGCATCCATCGTCCTGGAGTTGTCTGGAATCGGCGATGCAACGCCGGTAGATCCATGATAGGCCCTCAATAGCTAAACCGCACGTTCCCCAGGCTGGGTGGGCTATCAAGCCCCAGTCGGCGACGAATGTGAATGGGCGATTATGGCAATGGGCGACTGCGGGTCGGTGCATTGCTCCCCCCCCCCCTGGGCATGTCCCCCCCTCACATTGCTCCTGATGATGTCTACAGGCCCAAGGTGGCCGTGGCCGAGAGGATCCCTGCGATCATACGGTGTGTTCGTGCGGCGTCGGGACGCGCAGAAAATTTGAAACCGCGCCCGATTGTTCAAGGTTGAATTCAGTCGGGTCCAATGACGTTGCCATGTCCCTCGGTGCTTCCGCGTAGCAGATTAAACCTTGAACGCCTTCGCTGGCGTCGCCAGTGCGCCAACGACGCATGAACCCACTGGAGGCGCCCTCGCATCTGACTCTCCTTGAATTCGGGGCGCTTCGTCCTCCCTCACTGCCCCTGCTTCTCATATTCCTGCTAGCGGCCCTCCGCCTCCTCGTCCTCCTCCCCCATTTCCTCCTCCATTTCCTCCTCGTCCATTTCCTCCATTTCCTCATTCCTCCTCCTCCACTTCCTCCTCCCTCTTCCTCCTCCTCCATTTCCTCCTCCTTCTCTCCACTATCGTCCTACATCCCCTTCTTCATCCTCCTCTTCCTGCTCCCACACCCCTTTTCCTTGAAAAATTTCCGGCCCAACGGGCCAAGGGCGTGCTAGGATCTCCGGCGACTGGTTAACAATATTCGTTCGCGCGCGCGGGGCCGCCCCTGGGGGTCCGGGCCCCGGATGAAAAGTACCCCAGTAAGGTCCCATCAGGTCCTGGCAAGGTCCCGGCAAGGTCCCGGCAAGTCCCGGCAAGGTTCCGGGCAGGTCCGGGGCAGGTCCGCGACCAGGTCCCGGCCAGGTCCCAGCAGGCTCCCAAGTGGCCTCCAGGAGAGCTCAACATGGCCCGAGACGGCCCAAGAGCGATCCAAGAGGCCCAAAGATGGCCTCCAGACAGCCCAAAGCGCCTGCAAGACGCCCCCAGAGGTCTCCAAGAGACCTCCCAAGAAGGCCCACGGAAGCAGAAATTAGTGATTTTGCTGTAGTTTTTGACAATTTTTGCGTTCTCGCCTTGGGAGCTTCCCGGCGCTCCAATACGGCCTCGCCCTAAAACGGCCCAAGAGGCCTCCAAGAGCGCCCAAAACGGCGTCAGAGGGCCCGGCCCCAGAGGCCTCCAAGACGGCCCAGAGGCTCCCAAGACGGCCCCAAGAGCGGGCCCAGACGAGGGACCCGAACGGACATGTCGAGCTCTAGGCTCAGAGAGGTCCCCTGGAAGCCCGAAGAGGCCCCCAAGAAGCCCCCAAGAGGCCCCCGAGAGGCCCCAAGGATTCCCAAAGATGCCCCAAGAGACCCCCCAAGAGGGCCCACAAGGGCAGAAATTACTGACTTCACTGCAGTTGTTGAAGGTTTTTGGCGTTCTCGCCCTGGGAGCTTCCCGGCGCTCGAAGACGGCCCAAGAGGCTTCCAGGATCGCCCCACTACGGCCCAAGAGGCCTCCAAGAGCGCCCACAACGGCCCCAGAGGGCCCCAAGACAGCCCCAGAGGCCTCTAAGATGGCCGAAGAGGCTCCCAGGACGGCTCCAAGAGCGGGCCCAGACGAGGGACCCGAACGGACATGTCGAGCTCCAGGCGCAGAGAGGTTCCCTGGAGGCCCCGAGAACCCCCCAAGAAGCCCCCAAGAGGCCCCCGAGAGGCCCCACGAGACCCCCAAGAGGCCCCCGAGAGGCCCCCGTGCAGGAGGTTCTAGAAAAAACGCCAAGAGGCCCCGAGATGCCTCCTATCGTCTGACCAACTCTTCTTTCTTCCCTCTCCTCCTTCTCCCCCCTCTGCATCAACGACCTTCAATCCTCGAACAAAAAGCGCTACTAGATGTAAGTCATCAAGGCAGGAATCGAGAGGCCTCCTCCTCCTCATCCTTATCCTCCCCTCTTCCTTCTCCTCCTCCTCTTCCTCCTCTTCCTCCTTCTCTTCCAAACGACAGCGGCGAGGCAATATGGGCCGGCGGAATGAGCGAAGCGATTAAATAACTCCTCCCTGTCGCGCCCCCGGACGTGTCGGAAGGGCGGGCCTGGCGCTTCGCCTGAGACTTTCTCACCACTTCTGATCCTGGCGCCTGACACTTGCAACAGCTGTAAAATCGAGGGCGGGCCGTTTTCAAATGTGGCTCTCGCCTGAGCGCCATGCACACTCGTCTCAAAAGCTCACGACAATTTCAAGTATGGAGGGCGGTTCCTTTTCAACATGTGGCTGTCGCCTCGGAACTGCGGACGGACATTTCAAAGCTTGCAACAGCTTCAATGATGGATAGCGCTTCCTTTTCAACATGTGGCTCTCGCCTTAGCACCGCGCACATTCGTCTCAAAAGTTTGCGGCAGCTCCAAAGACCCACGATGTGTATTCTGGCACGGCTTAAGATTGTCAGGACACAGCAGTCACGTTGCTTCGCGGTGTTGAAGTACCAAGAATGGCCTTCTGGTGAGATTTTGGACTCCCAGGACGTAGCCGTCACGTTGATCCGCGGCGTTGGTTACCCAAGGATGGTTCTGGCACGATTGCTCAGACGGTTGTCTTCTAATGCGCCACTTCTCGCAATGGAGACAAATTCTTCTAGGGACCTGTGAAAAGGGGAATTGGACGGAGGGTTTGTTGCAACGTCGTTGATGCGCCTTGGGTTTGCACTGGCCCTCCTCCTCCTTCTTCTCCCCCCCTTCCTACTCCTTCTCGTCCTCCTCGCTTTTAACCCTTCTACGTGATATTCATCCTCCTCCCCCTCCTCCTCCTCCTCCTCCTTCTCCTCCTCCTCCCGGTCCTGTTCCCTCTTCTACTCCTGGTCCACTTCCATCTACGCCTCTAAGACATCTCCCTGCGTCGCCTTCAAGTCCTCGAGCTCCCGGCCCTTGCCTTTGAATTTGATTCCTGAGAATCTGCTCAGCAATTTCTTGAACCCGGCCTCGGGGGGCACAGGGGTGGCAGGAAAACAATACAGGGGCACTGGTGGAACGAAGAAGTGGCTGCGACTCGGGAGACGGCCTTGCAACAGATTCTGCATGCGAGGCGGAACCAGCACGCACCTGGCAACAGCCGTCGCCGACGGACCTGCTCCGAACGAGCAGTCTAACGCCTCCTCCGTGTGGGGGGCGGGGGCGAGACCGTGATTGTGGTCCGGCAGGCCCTGCACGAGCGGAGAAGGCAGGCGGGGACGAGAGCACGCCACGGGCAACCGTGCGCCCACACCGCCAGGCCCGGGCGGGGCCCGTGCGCCCTCCCGGCCGAGGCCGGGAGGGCCTGTGCACCGTGCCAGGGCCCAGGCTGGCCCTGGGCATGCGTGGCGGAGGAGAACGGCAGGCATGGCCCGGGGATGGACATGACCCCCGGTAGTAGAACGTGGTTTAGTGAAAACGACCTCGGGCCCAAACCTGGTGGGCGCGAGCCTGGAAAATGGCGGCCGCGGCGCCCTCTCGAGAACCGAAGACGGACAATTCACTGATCGACGTGTCAGGGTGGGGGTTCTGTCCACCACCGAATGGCGGCGGAGGGAGGAAGAGGAGGGAAAAGGAGAGAGAGAAAGAGAGAGAGAGAGAGAGAAAAAAAAGAGAGAGAGAGAGAGAGAGAGAGAAAAAAAAAAAAAGAGGGAGAGAAAGGGAAAAGGAGAGAGAGAGAGAGAGAACAAGAAAACAGAAGGAGAGCGAGGGAAAAGGAGAGAGAGAGAGAGAGAGAGAGAAAGCACAAAACAAACAAACACACCAAAAAACGGCTCGTCGGCGCTCTCGGGGTGTTTTTTGGGGGGGCGGGGGTCACCAGTCCTCGGAGGGCGCAAGCCAGACACCGGCCAAGCCCTTCCTGGGCCAAAGGATCGGTGTTCGCAGGCGTAGAGTCTGCATGGTTGGCCCCATCCGATCCCCCCCGTCATGACTCAATGCATATTGAGACAGAGCGCCCGCGGCACCGAGCTGAGGAAGGCTTCTGCTGCAACTGACGTGCGAAGCTTCGTCGATGGCGCTGCTCCAGAGGGAAAGAAATAACTCATCAGGAAGAGAAATCACTTCCTGTGCTTGGACCCGCCATGGACAAGCGCAACTGGCGGGGAAGAAAACGATCACGGGAACAAGAACAGGAACGCGCCGAGTCCGCCAGCCGGTCGGCCAGCAGGCTCCTTGGGGGCAGCTATCGGTATCACCGCTGTCGGCGCTCTTGCACTGCTCGCCTTCACCGTGCTCGGTACAAATTCCACAGGTGCAGGTACCAGAAAAAGGGAGAACCATTAGACGCTTCGATCGCGCAGGGGCAACAAATCAGGCACCCCAATGTAAGAGAGAGCGTGATCCACCGCCGCTTTACTGTGGAAAATTGCCAACCTTTTCCTCCGGAACCCGGGGGTCGCCCCCCCCCCCCCCCTCCGAAAATCCCCCCCCCCCTGCTGGAACCCCTCCCCCCCCCCCCCCCCCCCTCCCCTCGCAAAACCCCCCCCCTCCCCTAAACCCCTCCCCCCCCCCCTCCCGCTCGAAACCACCCGGGGGGTCCCCACCACCGTCCGCATCACATCCCCCACTGGTGTTCCCAGCACCACTGTCCTCACCATGTCCCCACTGGTTCCCCCCCCCCTACTGTCCCCACCAGTGGCCCCACCACTGTCGCACTGTCCCCGCTGTCCCCAGAACTGTTCCCACCACGGTTCCACTCTCCCCACTGTCTCCACGGCCCCAACCACTGCCCGACTATCCCCACTGTCCCCACTGTCCCACTGACTCCTCCGCTGTCCCACTGAGCTGTCCCACTGTTCCCACCACTGTCCCCACCCCCCCACTGTACCCTGTCCCATTGTCCCACCGCCGTCCTCGCCACCGCCTTCACCACTGTCCCCACCACCATTGTACCCTCCACTGTCCCACTGTTTCCACCTCACATTGTCCCCACACCACTGTCCCCACCACCACCGTCACCACCACTGTCCACTGTGCCCCCCTGTTCCCACCATTGTCCCCACCACTGTCCCCACCACTACCGTCCCCACCACTGTCCCACTGTCCCACTGTCCCCACCACTGTCCCGCTATCCCCTCACCACTGTCCCCACCAACACCGTCCCCACCACTGTCCGCACCCCCACTCGGTTTTCGAGGGGGGGGGGGGGTTCGAACCGGTAGTGACCCCCCCCGGTTTTCCGGATCCGGAGGGGGGGGGGGGGGGGGGAGGGGTTCGAACCGGTAGTGACCCCCCCCCCTTTTCATGATGAGCAGGGGGGGGGGGGGGGGGAGGGGCTCGAACCGGTAGTGACCCCCCCCCTTTTCCGGAGGGGGGGGGGGGGGGGGGGGGGGGGGGGGGGGAGGGGTTCGAACCGGTAGTGACCCCCCCCCGGTTTTCCGCCAGCAGCGGTAGAACACGCTCTTTCCAATGTAACGAGGTCGAAACTGAACCAGATTCTCGGCTCCATGCCCAATGCCTGCGAGCGCAGGCGCCACTGGATCTCCCCCTTCCCGCAAGCTACTTCAGTGCACCTCACATCACTGCAGTAGATCCGGTCAAAGAAGACATCGTGAGAGTCCCTGGCTGGCGACTGGCCAACCCCTACCCCACTCGGGCCGAGCTCTGGCCAAGCCCCACCCCTGCCCTGGCAAGCCCTCGTAGCAGATGCCTCGGAGGTCGCACGCAGGCGGCAGACCACCGCGCCCTCGACCGCCCTCTCCTGCGCCGCTCCCGTGAGCCCCCCACGTCCCGCAAAGGCGCGCCGTCCCGCCTGGCCCACAGCCGCTCAAGATCGGACCCCGGATCCCTCACGGGGGTTCAGACGCGCTGGTTTTCCGAGCTGAGTCCAGCCGCGGCGACGAGGGGGTCCCCCGAGCTTGCGCGTCCCGCCACTCGTTGGCAAGCCGACGGCGCCCGCCGCGGAGAACACACGACAACGTGCGCTTATGCGGCTCCGCACTCGTGTGGTCAGCGACGGCTGCTGATGAGCTTTGGACTGTCCAGAGGAGGGAGGCCTAGGCCAAAAAAGGCGACTGGTGTCACAAATGGCCCTCCTCCGATGACGCCGCCTCGTTGTCAAAGAAGTGGCCATGGGTCAGCTTCATGCGCTTTCTGCCGCCAGCCGGCGCGATCTGCACGGCCTCCCCCCGGAGGGAGGACGAGCTGGGTCAGGAGAGCAGGAGGCATGGAGGTTGCACAAAGCAATTTCAGATGTGCGCTTCGCTGCATGCGAGTCCGCCTGCCCACTGATCAAGGATAGCCCTTGCCCCCCAAAATGCTTGCCCAACATTCTCGAGGATACGCATGCTTGCATAGCAATTGCCTGGATGTGCGGGCAAGGCCCTGCTAGACTACAGTAGATGCATCTAGTAACAAACATTGACGTAAGACGTCTGAGGCACATTGTCTGTTGATCTGTCGCCTTCGTGTCCCATGTCCGCTGTGGGTCCCCAAGGCTTTTAGGGGATAAGACAAATCCGTGGGTCACCCGCTGGCGTTTCGGTGTCTTCTTGACGTGCCTAGAGTTCTGGAGCCAGGACAAGGAAATAGGACAGGCTTCAGAGGGAGGAGCCCTAACAGCACAGAGGGAAGAAGAGCGGGTTCGACCGATACCGCGCCCATACATCGGCACGCATACTGTGGCGTGAAAAAAATCGCCCTTGTTCTGACAAGCTGGCGCAGCGTGGATCGGAGGTGCCCCGCTAGGGACACAGAGCCTAGTACAATGTGACAGGAGTGGGGCTGTGCCAAAGGGGAATGGCAACCTGGGGATTGCACTCCCAATGAAAGATTTGCAAAGAAAAGCGGGATGGCGGTTTGAAAACAGCGAATCGCGTGAGCCCCCCTCGCAGATACAGGTTCGAACCAGGTTCGAAGGCCAGTTCGAAATGACAGAAATGCAATCGACGCCCTAAGACAAGTTCATGTTTCGTGTGACATCCTCGAAAAACAGGTTCGAGCCAGGTTCGAACCCGGTGTAAATTCGTACAAGATGTCCTCAAACATTAGGTTCGAACCAGGCTCGAACTCGGTTCGAACCCAAACCAACGTGCGTTTCGTCGTGCGGAATGTCCTCGGACACCAAGTCCGAAGCAGGTCCGAACTCGCTTCGAAACAATGGGCAAAGGAGCGTTTCGTGTGGGACGTCCTCGGGCAGCAAATCCGAACCAGGGTCGAAACAAAACGAAAGCGAGCGCTTCATTAGAGACTTCCTCGAAAAGATGAATCCCACCTGCCCTTTAGGGCGTGAGTGGTTTAGAGGGCCTCCTCTGTCCAACCCCCTTCTTCCCCTTCGGGGAAGGGTTTATCACTGTTCCCTATTTATAAACACCCCCTCCCCCAGGCGACTGATAGCCAACCAGGAACCATGAGGGCCCCCCACCACCCCTTCTTAAAAACATTACAAACACACACTCTGCCTCCAAATTCTGAGCATGCGCAGCCAAGCCGATGCGGCCTCACCCCGCCATCCCTGTCAAAAAACAATATAGAATACACTTGGCGGCGGCGGCGGCGGCGGCTGCGGCGGCTGCGGCGACGGCTGCGGCGACGGCTGCGGCGGCTGCGACGGCGGCGGAGGCGGCGGCGGGCAGCGCGGCGGCGACGGCGGCGGCGGCGGCGCGGAGGCGGCGGCGGCGGGCAGCGGCGGCGGCGGCGGCGGCGGCGGCGGCTGTGGCGGCGGCGGCGGACGCGGCGGACGCGGCGGCGGCGGCGGATTGGCCCCCAGTAGCTGCCCATCCGAAGAACAACTGCTGAATATGCTGAGGTTCGGGCCAGACTCGGGTGCTACATGTGTGTTGGGAGGGCGGGGGGAGTGAGCGAGACGGCTTGCGGGCGGGGCGGGAGTCGTGACCCCTCTTCCTACCCCCTCCCCCTGGGCCTGGAGAGAGGGGGCCGCGGGTCGCTGGAGCGTCCAAAACGGCCTCGGCGAGGACGCCAAAATCATTGGTTTTACCAAGGTGTTGGCTCCATGTTGCCCTCTTGGGGGGGGGGCTATTGACGCCGCGCTCTTTTTTGAGACGTGGCCTCCAAGATGGCCTCAAGAGCGCTCCCATGGCTCCCAAGAGCGCCGCAAGAGGGCCCCAAGAGGCGGCCAGGAGGCCCCAAGAGGCGCCCAGGAGACCTCCAAGAGACTCCCAAGGGACCCCCACGAGGCCCCAAGAGGCTCCCCGAGACGCTCCAAGAGGCCCCCGGGACCGCCAAGAGGCCCCCAAGACGCAAGAGAGGCCCAAGAGCGCCCCAAGACGGCCCCAATAATGCCCACGAGTGTTCCAAGAGCGTTCCAAGAGGCGTCGCACGCCCGTCCTGTCGGACTGCTGGTACGCTTCGCTGCAGTCAGGACGTCCATCCATCCAAGTGGCTTGCGCCATTCCGCCGATGCCCCAGAATGAGCGAGCATTTGCGACGATCTTGGAAGTTCTCTGGGGTCAGGAGCTTCTTGGATGCGTTCGAGAGGCTCGTGGGATGCCTGTCCAGGGCCTTTTTGAAGCTCTTGGGGGCATTCGGGGGGCCTTCTGGGCATTCTTGGGGGCCTCCTGGGGGTTTCTTGGGGGCCCCTTGGGCGCCTCTTGAGGCCTCCTGTGGGCGCCTCGGGGTTGTCGGGGGGGCTATTGGGGTTACGTTCGGGTGAAAGGCTCGACATGTTTGTGCGTGTCCCCTTGACTTGGGCCCCCCTGAGAGCCCTGTCGGGGCTCTCTTGGGCCATCTGGGGGGCCCCTGCGGCCGTCCTGGGGCCTTCTTAGGACGTCGTGGGGCTCTCTTCGGGGCCCCGTTGCCCGTCTTGGGACGATGTTGGGAACCCCGTGAGCCGTCTTTGACAGTGTCAGGACGAAGAAGGCGAGTATGCAAACCATGCTCCTACCCTTACGGGGGTGGGATGGTTTTCTCTCCTGGGGGCCGTCTCGGTGGTCCTCTGGGAGCACTCTTGGGCCGTCTTGTGCGCCTCGCGGGCCGCTTCGAAGCCTTTTAGAGTCGTCGTGGGGGCACTTTGGGCGATCTTGACGTTTTGTTGGAATGGTTTGTCGCTGTTTTGTCATTTTGTTTTGAACCTTATGCGCCGTCTTGGGGTCCTGGAGAGAGAGAGAGAGAGAGAGAGAGAGAGAGAGAGAGAGAGAGAGAGCGAGAGAGAGAGAGAGGCTCCGCGGGCCCCAGGTGAAGGGGAAAGGGGGAGGAAGACTGCCAAATGTCTCACACGCCTTGCCACCCCCGACAAGCGTGGGTCGGCGAGTTCCTCGATCCTTCTGGCCACCCATCTCTCCACGCTCCCTCCCTCCTGGCCCCTCCCCCCAAATCCCTCGAGCCATCAACCCGTCCCTCCTAATTCATCTCTTCCTGCGCCGGTCATCCTTCATCCCTCTTTCATCTGTCATCCTCGGGATATCACTGCTCTGTTCATCCCTCTCCCCAGCATTCCTACTGCCCACTCCCTCTCCCTCATCTGTCCATCCCGCATCCCTCCTTCCTGCCTTCCCCAACCCCTCCGACCGTCTGTCTTTCCTTACTCCATCCGTCTTCCTTCCCTCGTCATGAATTCCTCTGCACATCTTTCCCTCCTCGCACATCCCTCTTTCCTTCTTCCACCCTTCCGTTCATCCATCCCTCCATCCTTCCGTGCATGGCCCCTCGTCATTCAGGTCGCCCTCCTCCTCCGCCTCCTCCTCCTGTACCTCTTCTACCTCCTTCCCCTGCCCCCTTCTCCGCTTCTTCTTTCTCCTCTCCCTCCTTGGAAAGATCTGCGAAGACATATGCAGTTCAGTCCATGACTGCATGCACCGCACGCTGGGACACTTCCCTGATCAATGCGAGTCGCGTGCGGGTCGATGCGATCATCACTGCTTGAACCCAACAGCGCCTGAGCACCACTGCGACTGTGAGCACCCGGGCGCCTGTGGGCACCAACTCGCCAGTGAACACCAGCACGGATAACCACCAAGAGGACACAGAGCGCAACATGGTCAGCACAGCTGCGCGCCCCAAGCTGCCCCCCCGAGAGGCCCCAACATGGCAGTATAATGCCCCAGTGCACTCACTGAGTGGATTGGTCTGGAGGGGGGGCGGCGACGGCGCAACCCTCCACATCACTTAGTCCAAGTTTTTGGCACACTGTGCGCCAACGCAACGTGCATGTACCCGCCATCAAAGCAGCACGTGCAAGGACGATGTACTGTGTTGTTCTTCGCTCGCACTGGGCACACATTTTGAAATCATGTCCCACACGGCACTTGGTTGAACCAAGTTCCAAACCATCGTTTCGAGGATGTTCCACACGAGGCGTTTATGTTCTTCTTGTCTCCAGCCAAGCACCCACTCTTTTTGAAAGGATGCCTTGAGCGATTCGATTGGATCGAACCTGTTTGCAAACAGTTTACGAATCATATGTCTGAGGGAGTCCAGCGCGAACCGCTCATTATCTTGTGGTTCTTGTGGTTCCAGACCAGGCGCGCACCAATTCTGAGAGGACGTCCCACGTACTTCGTTTGGCTCGAACGTGTTTCGAGCCGTGTTCCAATTGTTTACGCTTCGCGAATCCCCACCAGCCCATCCTAAAGCAGCCAGTCTAGGGAAGAGTACCGTCTATCCAGAGACGATGCCCAGAGGATTTGCCTCGATCAGGGAAGTGGGCAGCACACAGAGGAAGGATAGCCCAAGACGGCCCAAGAGGTCCCCAAGAGTCTGCCAAGACGGCCAACGGGGCCTCCAATAGTGCCCCCCAGGAAGGCCCAAAGAGGACAAAATGATTGACTTCCCGTAGGTGTTTGAAGGAGTTTGGCATTTGCTTCTGTTCGGCCTTCCGACGGCCCGAAACGAACCAAAAGCCGCCAAAGGTCGCCCCACGATCGCCCAAAAGTCCTCCAATATGGCCCCAGGACGGCCCAAGAGGCTCCCGAGACGGCCCCAAGGAGCCCCAAGATGGCCCAAGAGGCCTCCAAGACGCCAAAGATGGCCTCCAAGACGGGCCTGGATCATCCAAAGAGGGCCAAAGTCGGCCCAGAGAAGCCCCAAAGACTGCTTCCGACGGCGTCAGAAGGGCCAGGAAGCCACCAAGACGGCCCAAGATTGCTCCAAGATGGCCCAAGACGGCTCAAGAGGTCCCCAAGAGTTTGCCAAGACAACCCACGGGGCCTCCAATAGTGCCTCCAGGAAGGCCCGAAGAGGCCAAAATCATTGATGTCCAAAAGGTTCTTGATTGATTTTGGTATTTGCTTCTTTTCGGCCTTCCGACGGCCCAAGAGCCCCCAAGAGGCCTCCAAGACGGCCCCAGAACGGCCCAAGAGGCCTCCAAGACGGCCCCAAGAGGCCCCCAAGACGGCCCCAAGAGGGCCCCAAGACGGCCCAAGAGGCTTCCCAAACGCCCAAGATGGCCTCCAAGACGACCCTGGAGCACCCCAAGAGGGCCCAAGTCGGCCCGGAGAGGCCCCAAAGACGGCTTCAAGACGGCTTCCGACGGCGTCAGACGGGCCCGAAATGCCCTAAGACGGCCAAAGAAGCACCCGAGAAGCCGCCAAGGGCCCCCAAGAGGCTCAAGAAGGCCCCCAAGATGCCTCCAAGATGCTCCCAGGAAGCTCCCAGGAGACCCTAAGAATGCCCCTGGAGGCTCCCAAGATGCCCCCTCATGCTCCTCCTCCTGATCTTCCCCGCCATCCTCCCCCAAGTGAACCCATAGGGTTTCTCAACGGATGGGGGAAAACATAGTCCGATAGCTTGGCAGAGTTCTTGCCACAACACTCGGCCACACAGGCGATTCCAAGAGGCAGGGGGCGGCGGTGATTCGCCGTAGTCGTCTTCGATCCGCCGCCCCCTATGCTTGTCGCAGGGGGTTCTGGGGGGAGGCCTGGCGTGCTAAACCTTATACGGTTTGGTTTGGTTTTTTCCATGAGAATTTCCCTGGGGGTCCGGCTCATGCCGCCAGCCACCCGGAAGGCAAACGAGCACAACGTCCACACAAGAATCGCCAAGACGGCCCAAGATGGCTTCCAGGTTCGCCCAAGATGGTCCAAGATGGCCTCCAAGACGGCCCAACAGGGTCCGAGATGCCTCCAAGTTCGCCCAAGAAGCCACCAAGACGGCCCAAGATGGCTCTAAGATGGCCCAAGACGGCCCAAGAGGTCCCCAAGAGGCCTCCAAATCGGCTCACAAAGCCTCCAAGAGGTCTCCCAGGAAGGCCCGAAGAGGCAAAACTAACATTGTTGTTGCCATAAGATTTTTCCAAGCTTTTGGCATTCCGGCCTCCAAGACGCCCAAGATAGCCTCCAAGACGACCCTGGAGCACCCCAAGAGGGCCCCAAGTCGGCCCGGAGAGGTCCCAAAAACGGCGTCCGACGGCGTCAGAAGGGCCAGGAGCCCATCTAGACGGCCCAAGATGGCTCCAAGATGGCCCAAGACGGCCCAAGAGGCTCCCAAGAGGGCGCCAAGACTGCCCAAGGGGCCTCCAAGAGGGCCTCCAGGAAAGCCCGAAGAGGCCAAAATCATTGACTTCCCGTAGATTTTTGAATGATTTTGGCATTTGCTTCTGTTCGACCTTCCGACGGCCCGAGACGGCCCAAGAGCCCTCAAAGATCGCCCCACGATCGCCCAAGAGGCCTCCAAGACGGCGCCAAGGAGCTCCAAGACGGCTCAGGAGGCCTCCAAGACGCCCACGCCCAAGAGACCTCCAAGATGGCCCCCAAGACGGCCGAAGAGGCTCCCAAGACGGCCTGAAGAGGGCCCCAAGACGGCCCAAGAGGCCTCCAAGACGCCCAAGATGGCCTCCAAGACGGCACTGGAGCACCCCAAGAGGGCCCCAAGCCGGCCCAGAGAGGCCATTGAGACGGCGTCCGACGGCGTCAGACGTGCCATGAATGCCTTAAGACGGCCAAAGAGGTCACCGAGAAGCCCCCAAAGGTCCCCAAGAGGCTCAAGGAGGCCCCCAAGATGCCTCCAAGAGGCTCTCCTGCTCCTGCTCCTGCTCCTCCTCCTCCTTCTCCTGCTCCTCCTCCTCTTCCTCCTCATCCTCCTGATCTTTCCCGCCATATTATCCCAAGTGTTCCCCGAAGGGTTTCCACAACGGATGGGGGAAAGCATGGTCCGATAGCTTGACATCGCTCTTGTCACAATACTCGGCCACGCGGGCGATTCCAAAAGGCAGGGGGCGGCGGTGATTCGCCGTAGGCGTCTTCGATAACTCACCCTATGATGACATGTGCACATGCAGAAACTCATCTCTTTCGCCCTCAGGTGGACCCTCTCGCCGCTAGCACAGAGATGCCTACGGCAGGTTCGCCTCGTGCCGATTTCGGCGCTGGTTTCTGACACAACGGGGATCGTTCAACCTTGAACGATCGGCCGTTTCCGACAAGTCAGATCGCTCAACGATGGGCCGATTCTGGGCCACCAGCGGAATTCAAAATTGCACGATAGCGGCGGGACCGCCGCCGGTCGACACGACGCGAACCGACCGGACCGAAGCGCAATCCAGACCCCTCGGGGGATTTGGCTGCCACGACACGCAACACGCAAAACGTAGACTGAAAACGTGGGTCTGACGCGATACGTTCGCCAAAACGTGGGCCAATACGTTGAGCCACCACGCAACGTATTGACACGGACGTTTTGAGCACGGCACGTGTTGCGGATCAAACCCGGCGCATCGAGGCAGCTGAGCAGGGGGGGGCCTCGTCCTTCACGTCGTCCAGCTCGGGTTCGTCGGCAAACCCCAGGAGGCTGGCGGTGCTGCTGGCCTGCGCCCCGGGTGGCGCCAGCGTCGCCGCACGCCCTCCGCCGGCGGTGCCCGCCTGGCCTCCGCGCGGGCCTGGCCGTCCACCAGAGCCCCCCGCCCGCGTTGTCAGTCCGACCATGAATCATGGCCTCCTCCTCCGCCTCCTCCTCCTTGCTGTTTATGATCCCCCCTTTGCCGACAGTCACCCTCTTCCCTCCTCCGCCTCCTCCTCCTCCGCCTCCTCCTCCTCCGCCTCCTCCTCCTCCTCCTCCTCCTCCTCCTCCTCCTCCTCCTCCTCCTCCCCCTCCTCCTCCTCCTCCTCCTCCTCCTCCTCCCCCCTCCCCTGCTGCTGTGGCTGCTCCTCCCCCGCCCCCTTGCCGCCCACTGGCCCTCGGCGGCCTGCGGCGGCCTGCGGCGGCCTGCGGCGGTCTGCGGCGGTCTGCGGCGGTCTGCGGCGGCAAGCGGTGGTCTCGGGCGGTCTGCGGCGGTCCGCGGCAGACGGTCTGCGGCGGTCCGCGGCGGTCTCCGACGGCCTTGGGCACGAAAGCCGTATGGCCCCGCTCAGCTCAGAGCAAAGCGCGCCTTATGAGGGAATCGGGCCGAGCAGGGCTGCTTGGTGAACGCACGGGGCAGCTCAGCCACCGCCGCTTGTGAGGGTTGGGTTCTGACACATGCGCTCGAGCAGCGGCTGTGTTCCGTATCCCACCGCACACACACACACACACACACACTTTAGCGTCGCAACCGCGCGCGCGGGGGGCGTGGCGCAGTACAGGTCAGGCGAGCGCGCAGACTGGCCCAGCTCACGTGGCCCACAGGCACACACACACACACACTCCCCCCTTCCGAAGCCTCCTGGAACTTCTGGGACCTTCGAAAACCTCGGGCACCCTTGACAAGGCCAGGCAGACTCCGAAAACTGGTTCAAAACGATCTCGGACCTCAGACCGCATCCTCCATCTCTTCCTCCTCCCTCCTCCTCCCACTTCCTACCCTCTCCTGCTTTGAGTTCGCCCCGCCGGTTGCGGCCGCAGTACCAGGTATTTTGTGCAGGCGTGAGCGGTCTCGTGGGCATCTTGCGAGGCTGAAGTGAGGGGGCGCGGTGCATGTAATGCAAAGAAGAGGATTGCGCCAGGGGCGCAGAACTACACTTCAGAATGCCGGTCGGTTACCAGCTGGACTTCAACTGCAGCATCCGCAACATCAACTCCTCTCCATCGGCCTCCTGAAGATCTCCGCCGGTACCGTAGCCCTCCGCAAGTGTGTGAGGGTGTGGCAGCGATGATCCATCTGGGGGCCATGTCCAAGGCAGCCATTGCGTCTTCCTCGTGCCAGTACCCGCCATTCCAGTCTTTCATGCTCGGCAAAGACAGCAGCAGCATGAAGCAAGTCAGCAACCTCATTTCTCGCGAGAGAACGGGCGTCGATGGCCAACCGTCAGCGCAGCAAGGACAAGACGAAGCAGAACCGTGGCAAGGACTGCGTGCACAAGAACAAGCTGAAGGCGCATAAGAAAAACACAGGAGCCGTCGAAGGATCCGCATATCCTCCGCCCCCTTGGGGTTCATCGGCGTGTGAGATGCTTCCACCTCCCCACACCCCTCCCCGGGGAGCCCAGTCCGGTCGATTTGGAGGGGGGGGGCCCAGGGACCGGCCGAACGCGCCATGGGGGGACAGAGGGCCTCAAAACAGCTAAAGAGGGCCCCAAGAGGCCATCGGGACGGTCCGAGGGGGCCACGGGTCGCCGAAAGATCAATCCAAAAGGCCCACGCTGGCCTCCAGACTGAGGCCCCCAAGACGCCCCAAGAGGCGTCCCGAGACGGCCTCAAAGAGCAAAAGTCGTCCCTTCCCTTTTAGGAAAACTTGTATTATTAGAACGTTCGCCTCTTGTACGTTCACAACGTCCAAGACGGCCCAAGAAGCCTTCCAAATCGCCCCAAGACGGCCCAAGAGGCCCCAGAGGGCTCCCAAACGACCTAAGGGGGCCCTAAGACCGCCCAAGAAGCTCCCAAGACAGCCCAAGGGGGCCCCAGGACAACTGCTGCCTCCCAACCACCCCCGATACGCCTCCCACGAGACCTCATCTGCCATCCGAGCGGCCTCGGACCCGCTGCCAGGGCACGGTGGTGGGATGTGCCGAGAACTATTCGATAATCACTCTCCGAGTATTTTGACAGAAGTCCGCCGTCTATAAACGTGGGTTCTCGCCCGTTTCCCCATGCGCGCACGGCGAACACTGAAAACACGACAGCCGGAGAAGTCACAACTGCCGGTGCGGACGGTGCCGCGATTGCCGGGGGCCCCGGGGGAATCCTTCGCGAGCACGCCTGTCCAAGAGGGCCATGGCACGCCCCACATCTCGCTCCAAGACGCCCACGACGGCTCCACAACGGCCCCAGCAGCTCCAAAAACACTCGACGCGAGCCCCACACAGCTTCCCAAGAGGGCTTCAACTCCGTCAAGGCACAACGGGTTTAGAAGGTGTTCCGGGTTCCCTCCTTGTCTACTACCAGGCGCTTCTTTCAACCCAGGGCGTTCCCACGGCCGCGCCACGACGGTCCCACAGGCCACCAAAAAGGCCCCGAACCGTTGTTTGGGCCGTCTTTGGCATCTGGCCTCTCCAGAGGCTACAGACGGCCCAAACGGAGCGCCAACACATTCCAAGACGCCGACAAGGCCCAAGGTAGCCCCACAACGATCCAAAATGGCATCGAGACGACCCTCGACCCGCCCAAGACGGCCCAATAATCAACCAGTGGTGCGCCGGAGGCATGATGTCTTGCTTTCTTACACGCACTTCCAAGAGAGGTATCTATCTTTCCTACTCTAAGCGACATCGCCTCACGACGAATCCACGGGCACTTCACTCCAATCCCATCAGATACTTCCCCTCACCTCCCCGCCAAGCTTCTCCTGAGCATCGCTCCGACTAAGCTCTCGAAACGAGTTTAGCTCCTGCGACGTAGCTCCTCTCGAAACGGCCTACACGAATCCAAAGACTACGCCCGCAAACAACATCCCACAAGCCCTCTGGGCGTCGGTTGGTTAGGGGGCGTCTCTTCCAAACCGCTCCTTTCCATTCGGAGACTGATGTCCCCCTGCTCCGCATTCGTAGATCCATCCCCACTCGACCAGCAGCCGACCCGAAGCAAAGACACCACCCCCACCATCCCTCTCACAATACGATAGAGATTGCACTTTTCGGCGTAATCCGGATAGTCTTCGGGCGTCCCGCCATCACTGTGTATTAATATTTTACACGACGGCGGGGGGGCATCGTATTACCCCGTGTGTGCAGGCCCACCACCCGTACCAAAAAACACTACAATATGCGCGTGGCGGCACAAGCCGCCGACCCCTCGGGGTGTCATCAACGTGCGAGATATTTCCCCCTCCCCCAACCCCAACCCCCGGAGCGCAGTCCGGTTGATTTGGAGGGAGGGGGGTCCGCCCGGATTCCCTGGGCCTGGCCCGAAGGCATCATGGGAGGATAGAAAGCCCCACAAGGAGCCAAGAGGGCCCCAAGAGGCCCCCATGACGGTCCAAGAGGACCCCGAGTCGCCGAAAGATCTTCCATGACGGCCAATATGGCCTCCAGACGGCCCAAAACGCCCCCCGAACGTTCTAAAAGACCTTCAAGAACCCTCCCAAGAGGGCCCCAAGAGGCAACATTCGTAGATGCTCGATGAGCTTTTCAAAAGTGTGAGCGTTCTCGCCTTTTCGGTTTCCCGACGCCCCACGACGGCTCAAGAGGCTCCCAAGATCACCCCCAGACGGTTCCAGAAGCCTCCAAGATGGCCCCCAAACAGCCAAAGAGGACCCCCACATGGCCCCAAAGACGGCCTCAAAGGCCTCCAACTCGGCACCAAAGAGCCCCCAGACCGCCCCAAAAAGGTCTCCGAATGGAAACGCCTCCAAAGGCGCCCAAGAGGTCCTCAGGAGCAACGCGCCACAACCGCTAGTTTCCCAAGGGGTCGGTGGTGTGGCGTGAGCCCCAGAATCCACGTCTGGAGGTGACGTGCTGAGCGGCAGCGTTTTTTCGGCGAACGCCTTAATGCAACGTATCCAATGTAACCAAAGATTCCATAATTGCAACATATTGTATTTTGTTACGTTATTACGTCTCCCCCCTCACCCCTCCCTGGGAGCCGCGCCACAGCGCCGTACCAAAATGGTCGCCCCATTTCTGGGGCCCTAAAAACATTCCAAAACCCGATGGGAAATCAACAAATTCGGCCTTTTGGGCCTCTTGGGGAACCCAAGAGGGCCTCAAGATGGCCCAATGTGGCCCCAAGGCGGACCAATACGGCCCCAGGACGGCCCAAGATGGCCCCAAAAGGGCAACACAAAAACACTCCCAAGACGCCCCAAGAGGGCCACAAGAGGACCCCCAGGAGTGCCGCCACCTGCCGAAATCATCGACTTCCCATCGGGTTTTGAAGATTGCCACGAAGTCCCCCAGAGGGCCCCAATACAGCCCAAGAGGGCTCCAAGACTGCCCAAAGAGGCCCCCAAGACGGTCGAAGAGGCCCCCAAGACAGCTCAAAAAGACCCGAAGGTTGCCCCAAGGCGTCCGCGAGAGCCCCCCAAGACGGCCTCCGAAGGGGCGAAATGGCGCAAAAGCGCCTCAAGACGGCTCAAGACGCCCCCAAGAGGCCCCAAGAGGCCCCCAAGAAACCTCCAAGAAGTCCCCCAGAAGCCTCCAAAAGGCCCCCAAAAAGTCCCCCTAAGGCCACACAGCGACTGGAGTGTAATGATATTTTCCCCCCTCTGGGCGAACTGCGGCGCAGCGCCAGCCACGTCGAAGTTGGTCACTGCGGCGACCATGATTAGAGCCGGCGCTGGAAGGGAAGATGGGGAGGGTGTATGAAAAGGAAGGAGGGGGGAAAGGCCCCCAAACAAGTCCCCAAGAGGCCCAAAGAAACTCCCAGGAGGCTTCCAGGAGGCCCCCAAGAGGCTCCCAAGAGGCCCTGCGACGACGTGACTGTGCCTGCTGCGGACGTGCACCCCGCGAAGCGAGAG